TTAGAAAGTAAAAGATGTATTTCCTTGGTATTTTATGTACGGCTTTATAATTCTTCTGGAAAACAACTAGAAAAGATCAAGAAAGACAATGAGAATACAAGTAGTATATTAGAGATTTGCGAATAAAATAATACTTTACTATATAATAAAGTATAAAAAGGCAAAATTATATGCTCTAGACTTCCTACTTATTTTTATCAAGGACTAACGTGATCCACAAGTCATTTTCGCACACAAGTCACTTTCGCACTTTTCTTGGCACCTTCAAGTAATTCAGTAATATCCTATGCATAACCCGCATTTTATCCTTTAAATTAATCAAAATCTTCTTCATTATCAGTTTCTACTTCTATTGAACAAGTCCTTGCATTATGTCCAGTCCCTCCGCAAATACCACAGCGCCTTATACCTGTGAAGGTCAACCCTCGCAGACTCACTACAACCAGGTGACTTACAGCTGGAACATCTGCCATGGCAGTGCCAGATGGGAAGCCAATCATAACCCTTGTAGGAGCCCCGCCAACCGTGGACGACTTAGTCGCGCTCCCTCAAACCTAAGTTGTCATCTTCTTTCCTTCGCTCCTTAGAGTAGAATCTTCGTCGATAGCACCTAATCGAGGTCTCTACCAATGCGATGCAACCCAGGTCGTGACAGTAGTTATCCACATAAGGCCTGCCAACGGGCCTATTCTGTGTTGGTTAGGAACGTGGTTCGTAACACTCGAAGTAAGTCGATATGGATAGCAGGAGAGATGGTCTCTAAGAGCTCCTTATAAGCGGGTAGTAACTGGAAGCTATGTCGTTGCTTGCCAATATCTCCGTCGAGTAGTCGCAACCGGCACTCTTGAGCTCTCTTGTAGTGGATATCTTCAGCGAATTGGATACGGAGGAGGTCGAGTATTTGTTGTGGGGGGGGTCTGCTGTGTTACTGCAATATTGGCAGCGACAATACGGACTAACCAGTCTTTCTTAGACGCAGAGGAGAATTTTTGCCTTGCAGCTCCGCTACAACTATGCTCCGTTTCGAGAATATGAATCTGCCAGATATCCTGACTGGGGGAATAGGTTGCTCGGCAGCGCCATAAACAGCCGCTTAACGCAGAGGCACACACCCAGGAGCCACGGGTCTTATCTCGCCGCTCAACCCGATAAGAGAATTTCTCCTTTACAGCCCAGTTGTCGAGGGCAAGCGATAGAGTATCAAGGTCAAGGAACTCTTGTCCATCAATAGGAATAGATAATAGGGGTAGCGACGTCATGTTGAGCTGAGGAATAGTAGTCGTATGCTAATTCCAGAGGCATGAAGTCAGAAAGCATGGCGGAAATGTGGAGAGAAAAGCGGCAGAAAAATTGCAGGGTAAATAGATCTCTACAGGGGTTGTGCAGGGTATTTAAATCTTTTGCCCTACACTTATTGTCAAGGACACCCTGGACATTTTGGCCCGCAAGGACGTTAAGGCCCAGTTAAAGGAGGACAAGCGCTCTAGGAGGGGGGACGGGGGGCTGGGGGGTAAGAAAACGCTAGTTCGTCGACTATACGACGATATAATAAGTAGAAAAAGACCGAACATCATATACAGACTTACTGTCAGAGAACAGAATGCCATAGGCACCAGTGGGTGTCAGGACACTGAACGCAAGACACCGGTGGGGCGCCGGAGGGGTGTTTCGGACAAAAGACTCCCGAGTCATGATTACAATCTATGTGAAGCTTTGGGATGACGAGAGTCAAGATCCTTGGCATCGCCGACCCTGCTGTTATGCCGGGTCCAAGCGGCGGCCTAGCTATCTATATAAGGACCATCTCGAAGTAGGATAGGGAAGGAGCAGAGATCAATGCATCACCGTGGGCACCCCTACCTGAGACCGCCAGTGACCACCCGGTGCTACGTAGGAGGGACGCCCGTTACTCCCCATCACTCTGTACTATTGCCTTCGGCCTAGCCGTACCCTGACACTTACTAGGTTCAACTAGAATTATCAGATGTATATAGCTCTAGATAATTTCTAATTAACTCTAGTCTGTTATAACTATTTAATTAAACTTGAAATTATAGTATATTAAAAAGTGCGCGACTCGGTGTTAATCCACTGATGCGAGTGCATATGGGGTGTGAATTGTGTCGAATATCACGTGTGTCCACTCGAGTAGTCAGAAGTGCGTAAGATTGTATATAAATGAGGTGCATTGTTCTCTGTGTTCTATTCTCGCGAACTCCCGTTGCTCTGCCTTTTATAGATTCTTTAGAACATGTCGGAGGTACATTGTTCAGGTGTCTGGCCCCTAAGTGAACCGTAACTTTGGAGTTACTTTCGGGAAGAGGGGTTCATTTCGCCGTCTGAACTTTAAGCGACACTAGTCTTCTCTAGTGCCATATTATTTCTGAACCTAGGAACCAGGTGCCCTATCTGACAAATTGTTGTATTGGGAAAGGATGGCCAGGTCAGCTATTCTGGCCTGGCAGAGCTCTTTTATAGCTCTTATCTATCTTATCTATTGCTGTGGGGTAACCCCCCATGGGGTCACGTATTATCCACGTTGACTACCTAATTTTCAATTTACAATAACTTAATATAGAGGATACCCGTAGGAAGCTCTTGCGCGCGTTTTAATTACAAGCTACTTAAAAGGCTATTGTAACGGGGTTACTACACGTCTCAGGGATAATATTCAGTAGTGCGAAAAGCCACTGATAATGTGCTAATAATGCGGGTGTATATATTGCTACACCGAGTCTGTAGGAATCTAAGTTCTGTGAGAGCGTCCGAGATCTTCTTTTTGGCTGGGGCGTATTCGGAGTTATATCGGATCGGGGGCGAAACCTCTCCGAAACAAGCTGCCAGCTGACACCGTCCCACCATGACGACTCTTCCTTATCAATAAAACACATCGATAACGAGGCCAACAAAGATACTAGAAAGGAATGGATCCGGGAGGCGTGGTAGGCTGCCACAGGTTATTATCAACTGGCTAATCGACTCTATGCCTAGCCACATCAGAGAGATACGTCGCGTACGGTGTTAGTAAACACACTATTTCAGAGAAGAAACAGGGCTTCGAATTATGGGTTTTATTATTCAACCTACTTAATAAATATTAAAACAATTGAGCCAGCAACTATGATGTTGAAAGTCAGGGTGCCTCGAAGTGGCATCGGTGGACTGGAGACTTTTTGAGCCTGCTTTTACAATAGTAACCCTGTGGGTTATTTCCAGCGTGTGGATCCGGACATCAAGGATTTGAGCCAGGGACACGACACCACAGAAAAGTACACATCGAGCATCGTAATTGTGCGTTTGTGAATCACCTAACACATCTGGACATACTTAACTCTGCTGGCTGCCATCATATCAGGCAGGCTCCTACCCACTGCGATAACAGGTATGCAAACCCTAAGCATACCAAGTGTTAGAGTCGCCCGTACTCACGCCAGGTATCGTATTTGACCGATGTACCGATCATATACAATTTACATACAAAAAGTACATCCATCCACTAGGGATTTCACTGGTCTCCTGTCTTCCCCCCAGCCCTCCGGCCCCATCTATACACAACGATTGATTCTACGCCACCAGGGCCGCAATAGACTGTCCAGGTAGTCCTCCAGCACTACGCACCACACGGCTAACAGTGTGCCGTACAGGTCCTCCGTACTTAAACATTGTAAATCGTACGTCTTCTGAGGGCAATCCTTCATTTAAGCCCATTGGTGCTCTATGGGGTTCAAATCAGGGCTTAAGGCGGCCACTTTATCACATTAATCCCTATGTCAAGCAACGTACTCCGCGGATAGTATGAACAGGGTGGAGAGGCTCCGTCATGCTGGAAAACACAAGGGATAGGCCACGAATCATCTTGCTGTCGCTGGACGACCGGATGTAGCAGGGGCCCTTCAAACGGGCACTGAAGCTCCCCTCAACACCAGCTATAGAAGCCTTGCTTTCTTATTAGTGTCCTTCGATTCGGTACTATGGTGCGCCACCCGTTGCGGGAAGCTTGGGTATGGCGTAGCATTCGTCCGAAAAGAGGGGCCCCCGCGTTCAAGGAGAGTCTCGGCCGATAGCCACTAGTCCAACCGTTCAAGCGAAAGGTCGCATCGGTAGATTTGGGCACTAACGGTCGAAAGCAGTGTTGTACGGCCCCGGACACTTTGTTTGAAGCCCAAGTCCGGTAGCTCTTGATTGATAACGCGCTAGCCTTACGAAGCGATTGCTGGCACTAAATAGCGTAGGTCATTTCATGGTACAAGCCAATTCTGGTTACTGGCCCAGAGGATAGAGGAAGCGGGATACAGCGGTCTGTTCGGCCGTTGCGAAGAATACGGCCGGCTTATGGGTCCCTTCTTCCGCGGCCTCAGTGGATGGGTAATAACCCACTATGGTGATACACCAGTCTTCTTTGCCCGTTGGATATACCTTAAGTTGCCGGAATCCGCTGTCGGTTACTAACAACTTCGCTAAGGGATTGAAGATTCGCTGGTTGGACGGCCACACGGTCGGCGGCGGCTTGCGACAGCGAGGTAGGGTTGAGGTGTTACCGCATAACGTAGTCATTGTCTTGGTCAAAATCTTCTGTGTTAAGACCCTTGAATGGTAGGAAAAGAGTCTGAATAGCTTCGAAAGAAAGTCAACAACGGCTTCCGGAAGTTAGGGGCTTTAATGTCAGCTGTGGACTGTTGACATCATTGGCTTTGATGGCGCATGTCCTATTACCAGGTGATTTGATGACGAAGTACATGCGGATTAAAATAAGCCAATAAGGTGGGGCCCTACCTTCATTTGAAGCCTCAATCAGGTTCATTATTTGTGTGCCCTGTAGTTTGTTGGGATAGTGGGTATTAGGTTGCAGTTAGAGCAACATTGGAGACCACGAAGGTATCATTCGGATGCTAGGGTCATACTTCTGCGCTGGTGGGGGGAACTGAACAGGAATAAACAAAAAGAAAATGTAACGCGGTCAAAAGCAATTTCCACTTCACATGTCTCCTGTGGCATATGATCGACGCAGAACGGATTCGAACCGTTGCCCCCGAAGGGAATAGATTATAGTCTTTAGAAGATCTATCGAACATTCTAGTCTATCGCATTAGACCACTCTGCCACTGCGCCTCCAAATTGATGTTGGAAGGTTGTTCTACATATTGTTATGTTGGCATCGCGTTTTCGTCGGGTATCTCCGATAAGTCGATTCCGACCTACCCCAACTCCACTTGGCGTAGCCGTGAACTCTCTTCAAGCTCTTCCAAATGCTCTCGAGCTGTTTTGAGAGGCAGCTGTGAGAAGTGAGAGCTCAAATGGAACTTAGCTGAAACGGGACGGAAGTCCGCTTGGGCATACGAGTAACAAACAGGTTTGGATTCCTCAGGATTTCCCAAGTATTAAATACTCCCTTGTTCCCCATGTTAGTTCGGTTGCAGCGTGCCTGCGACCGACCCTGCTGCTTTTAGGTGACACTGCATCAGCTTAGTTTCGTGGCTGATCGACACAGCGCATTTCATTAGCGGCGTCTACTATCTCATCGCCCTTCCATCTCATCGAGTGCCTACCTTTCTCCCAAGGCTTTCATTCCGAGACAGAGACTCAGTACACGCAGGAGTCTTCTACTCCACTGCAGATCAACCATGGAGCTCGGTCTCTCCATCGTGCCCCCCGACGCAAAAGCGGAGCACACGCATACCATCATATTCCTTCACCGACGAGGCGACACCGGGCGCGCTATGGCCGACTCGCTGTTCTGGTCGCGAGACTCATCGCACAGACATCTAAAGAACATATTCCCCTCGGTGCGCTGGGTATTTCCACAAGCCGATATTCTGTACTGCGAAAGATGGGACCAGGATTTGTCCCAATGGTTTGACATCTGGAATATCCTCGATTTCTCGGACCGGGAGGAACTTCAGGCACCGGGATTGCGCGAAAGCGTGATGAGCATAAGGAAACTCGTGCACAGGGAGGCGGAGCTGGTCGGGGGGCTGGACAAGATTGTCCTGGCGGGGATCAGTCAGGGAGCCGCGACGGCGATTCATACCATGCTGAACTTGGATATCCCACCATCGGAAAAGGGAAGGTTCAATGGAAAGAAATCGTCGTCGGCGCGGCTGGCTGCCTTCATGGGATTCGGCTGTCGCCTTCCTTTCCCGGGCGGAACGCTAGAGGAGACGCGGGAGGTTCTGGTATTGGACGGCGAGCCGAGTGATGATATTGTCCGGAACACGCCGGTCTTCCTGGGACATTGCACCAACGATCCCCTCATATTCGTCGAGCTTGGAAGACAGCTGCACGACTCTCTGGTAAAATTTGGCTTTCAGGTTTCCTGGCATGAATATCCCGACGGGGGGAATTGGATTAACTCGCCGTGGGGCATGGACGACGTCGTGAAGTTCCTCAAAGCTCAAGGAGTAAGAGCAGTACCAGCTCCTGACCCGTTCGCGGTTCGTCTCTCAAATATTTGAGTACCACCAGGGCCATGCCGACATTTCAACGTTACTGTCAATACCAAATTGACTCGCGGACGGAGGCTGTGCACAAAGGCGGAATACTCCGATACCCGACGCAAGCCTGTTTATATCCCTCGACGGTCCGCTTCACAAGTAATTAACAAAACCACTATGCCTGTTCATGCAGGCCATACTCTATACAGGCTCTACCGACCTCTGTTTTCCCTGATCGAGTTCATGCATTATGCCCTCATAAACCGCCCACTGGATGGCACTGACCACGAAAGCCCTCACGCTGCAAATAGTCAAACCCCGGAAAAACACCCGCAATCCACCTTGTCTATACGCCTCCTTCGCCACCTCAATCGCACCAGCCCGTCTGTGGACCTTCGTCTGATCACCAAGTAGAGCCATAGCCGCAGGCTCGTTAGTCTGCGCTTGCACTCGAGTCTTGATGACATCGAGCGGGAAGACACTGGCCCAAGTGACGACTCCAGCCAAACCGCCACACAGTAACACCCTTGCAGCATCCTTAGTGAGCGACTTTTCTTGCTTACTCGAAGTTATCAGCTGAGTGCTGAGTTCGTAAGACCAGAAGTAAAAACCGTATCCAATGCTATCCCGAAGCGCCGTTACCACTCCACCAAAGTACAGGCCTCGAAACCCTTCACTCTTCACAATTTGCCTTGCGATCTTCCAGCTTGATGTTGGAGGCAAGGAGAGTTGTGCACGGCATTTGACGAGCTCTGTTGGGGTGCTGACGACCCATGTCGCGAGCCCGCCGATGGCCCCTGCTGCCCATGTTGTCCAAAGGTTCGGCGAGATTGCGAGATAGTTGTTAATGGCAGCTTCGCTCCGGTTGTAGGAGACGAACAGAAGCGCGTTCAATGCACCGTAACCTAGCACTGGGGCCGCAGTACCTGTTACCAAGGACGATGGGGTTTCGAACTGTCGGGCATAGGACACTGTCGTCTGAGCTGGTATTGCGTCTTTCGCCTGCAACCGGACCTTGATCAGGTCAAGGGGGTTTCCTATGACAATTCCCACTGCGCCGCTGACATAGCCCGCCCAAAAGTCTGCAGACATGGCCAGAAGTTTTCGCCGGAAGTACAACAATGTAAAGAATACAGTTGCTCAGAGGCCGAGGTACACCAGGCCTGCCGGCGCTGGAATGCGGGGTTTGTCACCTACCTCACGAAATGGCGACATCAAACTTTATTGACGCGTCGACATTGGTTGGGATCAGATTCAATTATTTTTCTGTTGCATAAGTTAAGAAAGGAATAGTATTCATGGTTTGAGCAATAGAAAGCGACTTCCTATGACTGGCTTGAAGCTTTCACTTGAAGGCGGTGTCCATCAATGCGTCGCAAAAAAGCATGTGCTGCCCCGCGGTTGACGAGGGGTAAATATGAGTGGATCTTTCCATTCCCCGACTTTCTGCCATGAAAGTATACTTCGTCTAGATATCATCCACCAACCCGGAAGGCGAAGGGGTATAGGAGTCGTCTTCAATCAAAGATGCGATGAGGCACAAATAAAAACCTGCGGACACTCGATGCGACACTAAAGATTGCTGCCTCGGCAGGAAACTACGCGGGAAAAGCGGGTCCACAAGGTCATGTGAGCTGGCGTCTTAATCGCCCAGGCAGTCGCGTCGCGATTTCCTTCCCAAATCAACAAATGGATCGTCATTATGCGCACCTGCCTCTGCTTTCCAGAGTGGCGAATAGACGGCCAATAATTTGCTCCTCAGATACCCGGGAACATCAGATCGATCGTAGGGAGCCCATATTAGATCTTTGTAAAGACTAAGGCAATTTGTCAAAATGTGAGTCGGAATTACTTTCCAAACCCATGACAGCTATTCATCTGGACACTAGGGCGACTCCCGTGTCCACACCGGCTTCAGGCAAGAAGCAGGTTCCGCCCGGGAAGCGAATGCACTCCCAGCAATCCATAGAGAAACTCTGGAAACCTTTCAGATGCCCTGGATCATCGACCCCGAGTCCCGCAGCCAATCGACCTGCCAGGAAGAAGAGAAAGGTCGACTATGGTGGCGCAGATGGCGATACAGACGCAGGTGCAGACAAGCCGTACACAAATACCGATCGATTAGCCCTGGCAAACCGCGACGCCAACAAATTTCCTGTCTTCCAAGCGAAGGATAAGGACAAGGTCTTTAGAAAAGCCTTCGCCATTCCTCTTCTCAACAAGAACACCACAGCTTACAACCCGAATCGACCGCCTCCGACTTTAGGCTTGAGGCAAGGAGCCGTTTTCATCGCAAAACCATTACACGACCCAAGTGGAGAGTTCGCAATTGTCCTGTACGATCCGACTGTTGATGACAAGCCGAAAGCTGCGCCGCCCAAAGAAGCCAAGCTAAAGGACATCCCATCTAAGACAGCGCTTGATGCACCCTTGATGCACAAGAGCCTTTCCGAAATCTTGGGCATCAAGAAGAAAGTCGAAGGTGAACACCCACGCGTGCCGGTTGTCATCGATCCAAGGCTTGCCAAGGTTCTACGTCCACATCAGGTTGAAGGTGTCAAGTTTATGTACAGATGCGTGACGGGCATGATTGAGGAGAAGGCCAATGGCTGCATCATGGCAGATGAAATGGGTCTCGGCAAAACGCTCCAATGCATCACCCTTCTTTGGACTCTGTTGAAGCAATCGCCGGATGCTGGAAAGAGCACAATCCAGAAGGCCATTGTTGCGTGTCCCTCCAGTCTAGTCCGCAACTGGGCCAACGAATTAGTCAAGTGGTTAGGGGCTGATGCCGTCACCCCATTTGCTATCGATGGCAAAGCATCGAAAGAGGAATTAACACGACAACTACGCCAATGGGCTATCTCCACTGGCCGTGCTGTCACTCGCCCGGTCATCATTGTTTCTTACGAAACCCTTCGGTTGAACGTCGAGGAGCTGAAGCACACACAAATCGGATTGATGCTTTGCGACGAAGGTCATCGTCTAAAGAATGGAGACAGTCAGACTTTCAGTGCCCTGAACAGTCTAAACGTCTCAAGGCGGGTTATTCTATCTGGTACTCCGATCCAGAATGATCTGTCCGAGTACTTTGCTCTTATTAGTTTCGCCAATCCAGACCTATTAGGCACCCGGCAGGACTTCCGCAAGAAGTTCGAACTTCCGATCCTACGAGGCCGAGATGCCGATGCGTCTGAATTGGACCGGAAGAAGGGCGATGAATCAACAGCTGAGCTGCTCAGTATCGTTAATCGGTTCATTATCCGCCGAACGAACGACATTCTGTCCAAGTATCTGCCGGTCAAGTACGAACATGTCGTTTTCTGCAATCTCGCGCCATTCCAGCTCGACTTATACAACTATTTCATAACGAGTCCAGACATTCAAGCGCTTTTACGTGGCAAGGGCAGCCAGCCTCTCAAGGCTATCGGCATGCTCAAGAAGCTATGTAATCACCCTGACCTGCTCAATCTCTCCGAAGATCTTCCCGGGTCTGAGCAATACTGGCCAGATGACTACGTACCGAAGGAAGCTCGAGGTCGCGATCGAGATGTGAAACCCTGGTATTCTGGAAAGATGCAGGTTCTCGACCGCATGTTGGCCCGCATTCGACAGGATACCAACGACAAAATCGTTCTGATTAGCAACTACACCCAGACTCTTGATCTCTTTGAACGATTATGTCGATCGCGAACCTACGGCTGCCTCCGTCTGGACGGAACGATGAACGTCAGCAAACGTCAGAAGTTAGTCGACAAATTCAACGACCCGGATGGTGATGAATTCGTTTTCCTGCTGTCCAGTAAAGCAGGTGGCTGTGGTCTGAACTTGATTGGCGCCAACCGATTGGTACTCTTCGACCCGGACTGGAACCCGGCTGCTGATCAACAGGCTCTTGCGCGAGTTTGGCGTGATGGTCAGAAAAAAGACTGCTTCGTGTACCGTTTTATTGCGACGGGCACGATTGAGGAGAAGATCTTTCAACGTCAGAGTCACAAGCAATCGCTCTCGTCTTGCGTCGTGGACTCGGCCGAGGATGTCGAACGTCATTTCTCACTCGATAGCCTGAGGGAGTTGTTCCAATTCCGAGGAGACACGAAGAGCGATACGCACGACACGTTCAAGTGCAAGAGGTGCAAGCCTGACGGCAAGCAGTACATCAAGGCCCCGGCGATGCTGTACGGTGATACCAGCACATGGAATCACTTTATCAACCAAGGACTGAAGCCGATTCAAGATCTACTTCTTCGTCAAGAGTGTGGTGAGAAGGAGGTGTCGGCAGTTTTCCAGTACATTTCGCATTAAAGGGGTTGCTGTTGCATCGGTGGTAAGAAGGGTTGTCAGGGATCGTTTGCACTAAATGACTAGAGCGCAATGACCGATACGTTGCACAAATGCCATTTGAGAGAGAGCTTCTACGTGATACGACATGAGCAAGGTCTGATGAGTTCGGGAGGCGTTGCATTTGCACAGGCATTAAAGAGAAGCGTGATTGCTTCAAAGACTAGGAGGCCGGCGTTAGGTAGATTATCAGGTAGCTTCCGACAATAAGCTCATGGAAAATCACATACGTTAGCCTAAATAAGCTATTGACGTATGTTTCTGTGGACAATATAAACAAGAGGGTTGTATTGGTGATGATAAGACTAAGTCCCAGAGGCTGCAGCTACGGAAGGGCTATCTATGGGCAATTGGCCCAAGCGCTGCGCCCAGCACACTGTCTGGGGAACGCAATAGTTTCTCTTATGTAGTTGTGTAATACATTACTAAGGCTTTCAACCAAGCAAGGTCACTGCGGCCGACCAAGTGAATACGCAGAGCGACGTTTTGCTACTTAGATAATTGGGTCAAGAGAAAATCGAGCCATATTATTCACTCTGCCCTGAGGGGCACTTTTGTGAGCCGCAATCAATCGTCAATCATCTACAGCCCAGCGGCCGCATTCTATCTCGTCGAAGTAAGGTCCTCCCACTGCACACCAACCCACTCCTCCAGATACCCAGCCTTTCCCTCATCCACCGCCCTTGCTTGACAATCCGACTCACAAACCCCAACTATCACCGTCCCCCAGTCCATACCATCCAGACTCATATCCTCCGCCTCCAACTCGGCAATTGCATTTGGCGTCAACTGCACCTCGAACGTCCTCCCCGCACCACAGTTCCCGCACCGCGGTATGACCCTTCCCCCCAGGCCAAACAGCTTGCCCACGGCATCCGTCTTTGAGTAGAGTAGTGGCTGGCCGCCGTACTCATACCGAATAACCTGCTCCGGGTTCTGCGCGAGCCTGTCGGCAAATTTTTGAAAGTCGAAGTCCATGGATGACTCGAAGACTTCGCGGTCTTCCTTGCCCCCGCTTGCAGTTGCCGGGTCGTCGATGTCCATGCGTGCCGTGGCTTGCGAGACAGGTGGAGGGGTGGGCTCGAGGGTTTCGTAGTCGGCGTCGGTCAGATACGATATCGGGTATGCGGCGGGGAATTCCTTCTCTGCTGGCCAGGGCTCGGGCGGGGGAAGGGGGCCGGAGGTGGGTTGAAAGTTGTTTAGGGAGAGGGTTTCTGCGAAGGTCTTGGGGAGGTCTTTGATGGATTCTTGGGTTGACTCTTTTGAGTGTGTCTCGGCAGGCTTAGACTTGGCTTCGATTGGAGGAGGACTGGAGAAGGGGTTGCTTGAGCTGGCAAACGGGTTGCTTGAGGTCGATGCCGATGTTGAGAAAGGGTTCGCTGATTTCGAGGAACCCAGTGTTTTCGCGCCGAAGAGCGTCTCTCCCAGGTTTGTGGGAGGCTCTAGCTCTTCTTTCGCCACCTTATCCTTCTCCTCCTCTTTTTCCACTTTCTTTTCCGTCACGGTCTTACTTCCAGGCGCAACCCGTACCCCGCGCAGAACGCGAATATTTCCATCTCGGCGCCGGCAGTTCTTCCGCCTACAGGAGAAGACGTAGAGCCGTCGTTCGTGGCCGGGAAATCGGTCGGGGAGTTCGCCATTGAGTTGTAGAAGAAGAACCATCAGTTCCTTGCAGATTTTGCACCTCGCAAGGGCCCCAGACGGTGGCGCATCGGGATCGAGCCATTCCTAGTTCAGAGGTGAGGTTAGTATCGCAAATGTCGAAGTTGAGCGAATCGGCGCACTTACTGGTCGGCCACCAAGACGACTTATCGTGTCTTCTTCCGCATCTTTGGATGCATAGCCTAGAAGTACGTTGGTCTCGGTATATTCTTCTTCCTCCTCTCCACCAGAGGATTCACTATCGTAAGGCGCCATTGTGTATGAAAATATGGTAAAAATAATTCGCTGCCGATCACAGCCCAAACTTTTTTCCTCCGATCGCGTTGGCGGGGGAGGGGCACACTTATCGATCACCAACGGTATGGTCCGTGCACATAAGCTACTTAAGTACCTTCTTTGGGCCATATTGAACTCTTTGTCGAGACGATCATGGCAACTGGTTCTTTTTATTCTCACGGAAACTTATGCAATGCTTAATATTATCTGCAGCTTGGGGGTCTCTAACATGCATACTGTATGTTAGCCGAAAGTCAACGTTCAACCAGCGAACCTTTTTCCATATCATTTTCCATGTCTAGACGCCGGCGCCTGGTTAGTTGAAAGCTGACTTACACGTATTCCGTTACCTCGCTGTCTTTCATACAATTATAAGGATCATGGGAACCTGTTTACGCTGCTATCAGCTATATTTCGTCTGCGTTCTTCTTCGGTATTTGGTTCTCTGTATGGATTTCTTGGACTCTAATCATTATAATGTAGGTTACAACAGGTTGAATCTACATATCTGGATGTACTTTACGCACATATTTGAGTATTTTCTGGAATGGCTTTTTACTTTGTATAGTTGCTATTCAAGTGCTGTGTGAGTAATGATGAAACGCCATAGGACCGAGTTTCGCGGTTTTGGTCGATCCAACATTGTGGCGTAGTAGATAACGACCGGTATGACTGTCATTACACCTGTAATATAGGAAATCCGTAGAGTTCGATTTTGATTTGCGTCTATATTCTATTGAGTATTGAGTTCCTTATGCAACAAGGTAGTTTACATAATGCCTTTCAATTTCCCATCTACACCATGAAAAGCACCTTCTACCCTGATACGCAGCACGGTTCCGCCGGATGCATTCCGATGGCCCTCAATCAAACCGAACGGACGATCCCACATCACTGCAGCGACAGTCGTGTCTGACATATTGGTTCCAGACATCACGCTGTTACCATCAGGGATCTGGCTCTCCGCCAGAAGGGACAGTTGTGGATGTATCATAAACATGGTGTTTTACCAGCTCGACGACATACCATTGCTTTGCCGCAAGACGGCAGGTGCCTGCCTTCGTGATTTGCCACTCCTGGGCCTCCAGCTCGATGTAGGCAGTGAATGGGTACCGAGTGTTTGTTCCACATTTCATTTCAAGGTGCAATCTTCCGTTCTGGAAGGGTCCATAAGCGTTGGTGGCACAAATACCATGGACGGTGTCCATTTGCTTCCTGAGGAAGTCCAGAGCGTGTTCGAATGACTCGAAAGGGCCGGTTTGATGATTTCGATACTCAAAGGGATGAGATTCCTCAGGATGATGTCTGGCCGAAAATCGAAACTGAATTTGAGACGAGCATGTTGGGTTATGGGGGCAGTCACGTTTCTTGCGACTCTGGTTGGCCGAAGTTTTTGCATCTCTAGATTTGTGACTCGGCGCAGACCTGAATATTCCCGTCTGGGACAGAACATTGACCCCGGGAATGACAGTGAGCATTATGCCTTGCGAACCAATGTGGGCCGCTGTTTGAAGAGTCCCATTGCCAAAGGTACTGGAGGATGGTAAACTATGGTGTTGCAGACCGAGGTTTTGCGACAATGTATTATTTGTTTCCGACTGTGGGGAGCTTTGCTGATTTCGGGTTGCCATTTGCGTGGACTGCGGCACGCGGTGAGTTGAGTTATCCTCCGAGTATTTCCCAAATTGTCCTGCGGCTTGATTTTGTTGTCCGTCTTGAAGATTGGTGTTCTTGGCGCTGCCGACTTGGCCAGGCAGATTTTCAGGGTCAGAGGTCTGGTCTTCGTTGAAGCATAATGCATGAAGAAATTCTGACTCGGCACCGAAATTTGAGAGGTTGGGCAGAAGCTGACGTTGGAGTAATGGATTGGAAAGATTTTGTGTGGGATGCGAGTTGTCGGATTGCAAAATCCGACCGAGGAAAGGTTGGCCATCAAATCCAAAGCCCTGGCCAGAAGAGACTTGGTTGTTCGAATGAATGGTGTTGGACGAATCCCTCAAACCAGGGGGAAATCCTGGTGGTTGCCCTTGGGCGTTGATTGCGTCGTTTTCGTCCGAATGATATAGGCCGTAAGTAGGACTGGGATAATCATTGTCTGAGACGATTGTTGAGTCGCTGGATGATGAGGTTTCGTCTATAGGTGATAGATTTCCTGTGAAGCTCGTGTTGCTCGATGTACTTAGGCGATTGTATTCGCCTGAGATTGTAGCATGTTCTTCGTCCTCAATGAGCACTATGTCCTCATGAGAAATGTTGAGAGACTTACGCTTCTTGCCGCTGGCCATGGTATATTCGTGTGATGTCGAATAATACGAAAAACGTCTGTTGCATCGATCGTGATGGTCAATAAACTGCTGCAAGGATGGCGAGGCTCATACTCCAAAAGCTCTGTACATTCCAAACATGTAGTAGCGTCCTGGCGTCAAGGTCCCTGTTGTTCAAAGCCCTGGAGATGTCGTTCGGGGGCGTTCCTCCCTTCAGAATGCACTTGCGCCGTGTGTGATGCGCCTTCTCGTGAATCGGTTGAGTACTCCGCGGTAGACTGCAAGCGCGCAGGTTGTTTACACACACTACTTTATCGAGATATCTGCTTAACCGATTGGACTGGGGGGCATATTGGAAAAGCCGTGGATGGAATGCCTCCTCTAATGTTCTATGAAATCGGGTTGGTCGATGTAAAGTGAGTGCTTAGCCGCTAACATACTCGTGTACTGTCATCCAAATTGCAAACCCGGCATTCTTAGCCTTGGTCAGTGAAGTAGAGGTAATTAAGTACTGGTAGGGCAGGTGTGTTGGTAATTGACTTGGGTTGCCATCTGGAGGGTCGCACCAGCCATTTGCTACTGTGGACCATCATTCTTCGGGGGCGCAACTTCCTCATTGGTCGGTCAAGTTGATAGGCCATGACTTGATTCGAGCCAGATAATCACCAATTCTGATTTTGGTTTGTTTCAGAATTATGATTGTAGTTTGTAAAGTAGATTACCGCTCGGTTAAATCCGTAAGACTGGTTTTGTGAGCAATACAAGTAAGAAGGCTATGGTGATGATGATGGGACTAACTCGCAGGAATTTGCAGCTACGGAAGGGCGATCTATGGGTAGTTGGCCTGAGCACTACACCCAACACTCAGCCGATTTGCTAGGGCACGCAACAATTCTAGGATACGTATAAGTAGCTTCCAACTCTCAGGTGGAGTAAAGCACTATATGACACATGACCCCGAATAAGTCTGCGTACGGCCCCCACTTTCGGCATCCCAACACGAGATAATCAATAACTTCACATATGAATATCTCAGCCAAATTACATTTAAATTCCATGAACGAACGTAGTTGCAAAGGATATCTGGTTCAATAAAGCGAATACCAGCCCCGGGACTTTCGCACTGCTGCTATGCTAGTCTTCGTGGTAGGAACTTATAATGCCGCGTACGTACGTCAAATCGACCTGTGACCATGCATCCTGTATTAACGCGGTGCACCCACGCCTTGTGGGAGATATTGGTCTTCAATTCAGCAAAATTGATTCGATTTCGCCTATTTTGGGCTTACGGGTCTTCCATACAAGCTCAATGGGGTTGAGATCTGGGCTGTGCCGGCCACTTAGTCGTCCAGATGCCATGCTCTTCCAGCCATCGCTTTGCGTAGCCTGAGACCTATACCTCGGCGTTATCTTGCATAAAAGGGAACCAGGCTCGTATAATGGAAGGATATCGCTCTCAGGACAGTCGCAATAGGACTGTGCAGTGATTCCTCCGCGCGGTGCTTTCGGATCCCCTTTAAAGATGAGTTGTGATGCCCCCCTTTCATCGTCACGTGGCCAAATCATCCCCAACACCATAGTCGATATACTCGACCGCTCATGGCTCTGTATATTGTGTATTCACAAGATCCTCCCTGTACTGTTTATAGGGATAGCGGAAGACCCCTTGGCCTGTTGTATCCGGTGCATTCTGTACCGTACATTCGTCAGAAAACAGCTTACGCATCAGCTGCCGTAACTGGGCCGGCGTACGGTGCGCGCGGCAGAATTCGATTCTTTCCTTCGTATCTTCGGCTGTCAACATAATCCGCTAAGCCGCGCGCCATTTCTTGAGGTAATACCGCTGTAGAAACGCCTCTACAGTGTCTATATGGATGGAAACGCCGGCTCTACGTTTGAGCTCAGCATACATCATCCAAGAATAGCGTCGGCATAAAAAACTAGATGGCGTTCATCTCTAGCACTCAGCTTCCTAGGCGCACCAGGCCGCTTCTTCGTACGTGTGGTTTTGGTTGTTTTGGCGCGGCGATGGTTTCAAGCCTCTGCGTTGCATCACATTTCGTAGCCGCAACAATGGCCCGGCGCCATAGGGCTGAAATCTCAGTTAAGGCTGTAATATCTGCTTATAACGGTACCAAAGGATCAAACATTCATAAAGGTTTGGTTACCCAATAGTAAAATAAAGTTAAGGTGCAGTTTTGTGGGGTTTACTTTTTAATCTGGTTGCGGGGCCATACGCAGACTTATTTGGGGTTACGTATCGACATCTAGCAGTATTGTTAATAATTCACAATTGTCCTATATTGTGCTAGGATTTGGTAGGTAGTATATAGTCTATCGAGGAAGGTGCTGTTCTAATTCAACCGGCAAGATACTCAACAGGTAGGCAATGATGACAGTTCTAAAAGGATAAAGCATCTTACTTCCATTGTTTTATCGACCCTGTATAACTCCGTCTTAGCTGAAGCATTGAGCTTAGGCACTGTGCAATTCCAAGATAAAATTGCGTTTTCCGCTTACTTCTTGAGGCTATCAGCGTGGTGTTTTTACCGCACTCCACTAAGCTAAGACTAACATCATAACCAAGTGTTCAACTCGTTTCCCAGTTCGAACAGTAGTTAATCAATAGTTATTGGACTGATTGTGCAGATTGTATTGTATTGAATGTGTGATGATCTCTGGAGATCTCAAAGGAGTGAATTGTGGCCATAAGGGCCTTGTATAGGTAGAAACGAACGATGCCTGCCCCACAGGCAGAATTGTGTGGTACGACGGGTGGTGGTCAAATTGGCCCATAACGTACGGTAGCTGGCCATACGTCCTCACAAGCTGGCAATTCCGTTGTAATAGCCCCGAAGGTCCAGAAATAGTCTGATATTACTCATTCTGCTTAGTTTTATATGCCGATTCTAACCAATGTTCACACTAGGAAATGAACGGTAATAGTTCTTAATATTTTACGAGAGCCATGAAGTGTTATAAGGAAACTTTATAGTAATCGTTACTGGAAACCCCTAGGCGATCAACAGGGTTCAAAATATAAGTACTATCCTCAACAATAGCGTCTCAAGTCTTTTGATTATGTTGTTCCGTCTTCTGTGTAACTGCGCCCAAACATTATGACTTTCCCAGAATGACCTTTTATTACATGTCGACACTAGGTCACCCACCCATTGTTGGGCCAGACTCTCAGCGCTCACATCCCAGCGCCATTTAAGCTGGCAAGTGATAAATTTTGCCACGTTGATAAAAGATGCCGCAGAACAATTACGATTCTCGAGCATGCAAGAAGTCACAGGTGGAGAAAACAGGGGCTTTTTCACGATATTGGAGAGAATTTGAGCCGATAATATTCAGCTATTCGTTTTGGGTCCAGGCTGGGGCCAGTTTTCAACGCAAGAGTGACCGAAAGACTGCTTTTCTTGTCCTTGAAATGTAAATTTCGCTACAATTCGAATAAGTCCAGAGTGGGTCTACTTAGGTGATGGGACATATCAGGGGCGTGTGATGTCTACAGACTCCATTTACTTTTGCGAGGGGGTACAGTTACAGATGAAACTGCCAGGAACTGGGCGTGCCGGCCATAAATGGAGTCATGGGTCATCTGATACCTCTGCTTAGATGGAAAAGTGACCCAAATCATAATCCGCGAACTCTATGTTTCTGACTCGGGGAGTGGCATTCAGGAAACGACTGTGTAACGTCCCACACCCACATCCGGGACACCCCCACATGTGGGACGCCCTAAAAATGATGCTGTATATTATAACCATTGACTTCAACCTTTTTTTACACTTATTCTGATGCGACTACAATACAGCTTTCACCGTCACTAGGGTTTTCAGACTCGCTAGACTCATCTGTACTATCCTCAATTTCACCAGCCTCGATTTGAGCCTTCCGAATAGCCTTGATATTAGTAAACTTCGAATTAGGGCTCATATTGACCTTCCTCCGCTTCTTAGCCCTACTAGCCTCAAGCTCTGCCTCTATTGCCTCAATCTTTCGCTGTGCGACAGCTAACTGGTAGTCCTTCTCATCAAAGCCCTTTTGAACTTTCCGAAAGAGTAGCCGCTGGGTATTTGGATCACTATCAAGCTTGCTGAATAAGCTGAGTTGATCTTGGAGCTCATCTCTCCTCTTAGGCGTTGACCAGGCTACTGCTGATGTCTCTAACGCCCAGTCCTGACTACTAGAGTGCCCTTTGCAAGTCTGACTAGGCTGTTTGATTGGTGCTGACGTATTCTCAAGGAGCAGGGGGTGTCACGCCGTGCTAGGGGTTGCAATCCTTGCCACTACGCCACCGTACCAGATGTCTTCACCAAAAGAGACCAATACCAAAGTCCCTGACTTTGATATCTGCAACCACTTATCAATCTGTTCAGACCAGTGTAGGTCAATCACGTGACAACCGTCACAGGGGGCTCATAAGGGGTCTAGCTATGCTCAAAGGCCAGAGACCAGTATATTTCCATCCACTGATAATGTTCTTAACGGTCAATGCTGCTAGACGTGCCTTTCTATAGCAGAGGAGAAAGTTTCTCTTCCCTACGAAAGTAGTAGTATCCCATTGGTTAAGATATGTTGGATATGTTAGCTATCCAAGCTATCCACCCTGGCAAGTCACGTGACCTGTCGGTCCTTTCCTTTCTCCGATGCGGGGTCCCGTGATCCTAGCGTCTGTATCCACCTGGCCTGCCAACGGGCCTGTAATGTTGGTTCAGGGCCAACGGTTCGTAACATTGAACCATTGCCTGATCACATTAGCTGAGGCTCCATTAATACGCTGGGAATCGATAGCTCTGCTTCTCTGGACCTTGACTAAAGGGTTCCTCTTGATAAAAGCCTGGGCCCAGTTCTTTCCAAGTGGTTCGGTGTCTCCGTGGATCTGTAGGATACGCTCGGCGAAGTCTTTGAGCTGTTGATGGGTTGGTGGGAGGCCTAGGGCAGCCTGGATTCGAACCCATTCAAACAGATGGGATTCCTGGGCTGGAAAGAGCCTCTGGTAGTGAAACGGGGTCAGGCGGTCAGTAGGATATACCTACCACCTAACACACTGAACAGACGGCTCCAGTACCAACAGATCCCATCTGTTGGTCTTATCAGACGAAGATCGTGGTACTGGTTATAAGAGCTTCGCTGTTATACGTCTGGTGCGCGAGTTGGTCGGATGTGCCTCTGATACTCGTATCGTGATAATAGGATCTCGAACGTAAAGATAAGCTGAATAACTAAAATAACTAAATAACTGACTGAAAAGCGAAGGTGAAGATGTAGATAAGAAGGAGATGATGATATGAAGATGAGGATGATGATGCATGAAGATGAGGGACTCGTGTCCTACTCTGCCTCTGTGCCTCTTAAAGAAGAGAAAATAAACTTTCTCCTAGCCCCGTAACCTATTTCCCTGATGTCCGGCCTTACCCCGTTACAGTAGTCAGCGAAGGCTATATCTCTTGACTGGGCTCCCTGAATCCGTCGTGAAAGAGTAGACCTTGGGACACCATGCTCATATGCTGCTTTTCGGAGGCTTTGACCGGTAGCTATTGCTTGAAGAGCTCGATAAATATCATCTTCGGTATATTAACTCATATTATTGTAAAGAAGACGTACGTAAAATTTTGTAACGATTAAATCGATATTGGTAAAGATAAAAGAGGTTGAAGTTAGAGGCTAGCGGTGTTGATGAGGCATTTTTGGGTGTCCCACATGTGGGGGTGTCCCGGATGTGGGTGTGGGACGTTACTCTATACCGGAAGTGCCTATTGAATATGGATTTTTCGTGTAAGATGAACTACTTCCTGAAAAGACCTCTATTTATATATTGAAGTCATCACCAGACAAATGAATATACAACATCAACCACACAAATACCATAGCAATCTCCAAAAGGTGACCGCAATCCGTGCTTGCATGCACAAGAGGGATAGCGCCGAGAAACTTTTGGACTTACTGCATCTAATCGTAGCTGCATATCTCTTCAACCAGACTAGAAAGTAGCACTCTGTCTGACCTAGAAGGCAGTGGTGCGGCTATCACATTTTCGACTTTACAATTCGATACACAGTCTAGATCACCAGTCATTGTCCGATTTATTCAACCAGCTCCTCCTCTCGGGCTCGCAACCCCTGCACTCAGTATCGAATGTAATCATTTCCGCCAGGTATGATGCAACTTTGTTCTTCGATGAGTTGTTGTGTGCCCCTATTGGCGAGCAGCCAAGCTGTAGATCTGAACAGACAGAGAGCGCCAGGTGAAACCTCACGTAGTTACTGGATGATCCAGTGATAAGCACTCTCGATGCCGCATATAACCCCTGTTTTGCATGTAAGTGCGCACTGCGGCAATGCCGTCGCGGATTGGAGCATGGTTCTTGACGGCATCGCTGTGTCGTGTTCCCCGGTTGCTAAGCCCCCAGCAATACTTGAAATAGTCTATATGTTTATGAAACGCATGCATCAAAACCAACAGGAGTACGAGGCGCATTTTATTGACATATTGACCAATAACAACGATGAGTGATGACTGAGTTGGGTAATGCGGCACCTGTCGACATTAGATGCAAACGCCGAGGTAGCCAAGGTCGGTTGCAACAGTCCTGCCTCTCACCGGGCTTAGCCCGCAGTTTTGTGTAACTTCGAGACGAATGGAACGTTCTCCGGGCCACGCTGATGAAGAATGCGTATGCATCAGCAGGTAGTATACTACAGGGGTTCGGGTAGCACTAATCTTACCCGGACCTAGTGCGGGGGTCGGATCGTCCTTTTGGGGGAAAGTGAAGGGCAGGGCTCGAGCTTGTTGGCTGTGTCGGAAGACTGATGCACAGATGCAGTAACGGCCATTCGATCAATCGGAATAATTGCGACTGTAACTGCACCGACCATCTATTCGGTATAAGTCTACTCGAGTAACAAATATTTTTCCCTCGTCTTTTCCTGCTTGCTAGCGCTTTTTGCCTTTTCTGATTCTAGACTACTATTCGCCTTCGCGACTGCCTGGGAGCGATAATCAAATCTAGACAGAGCAGCGGCCTCAAACCTCCACCCACGTATATATCATGATCGAAGACCCGATATTGGTGACGCAGCTGCCGTCGGATGCCTGGTTCGAGGGCTTCGCGTTGCGGCCCAACGGACATATTCTGGTGTCGCGCCTCGACCAGCCCGAGCTGTATACCTTGGACGCCGAAAATCCAGATGCTCAGCCAGAGTTGCTGCACACGTTCCCCGATGCCAACGGGCTCATCAACCTGTGTCCGCTGTTGGGCTGCGAAGACGAGTATGCCGTCCTTTCGGGCATCGTCGACCTCGGCAACGTCAAATTCGAAAACTTCATTATTTGGCGTGTCAAGCTACATGGAAGTGACCCACCCGAACTCACCCAGCTGGCCAAGCTCGAGAGCTCGGGCTTCTGCATCGGCATCATGGCCGCCACGGAGCGCACGCTGCTCATCGCTGACTCCCAGAAGCACTGCATCTGGCGCTTCGACATGCCAACAGGAAAGACCTCCGTCCTGGTGGCCGATGAAACGATGAAGATAGCGAGTACCGACGACTTCTTTGGCCTCAACCGCCTGCGCATGGTCGGCAATTATGTGTGGTTCACCAACACCAGTGCCGGCATTCTCTGTCGGGTGCCCATCGAACTAGACAAGGACGACCCCGTGACGGGCGTACGCACCACCGGTCCCGTGGAAACCATCACCGATGACTTGCCTCACTGCGATGGTCTGGCTGTCACCAAGGACCAAGAGGTAGTCTACTCAGCGAGCTACATGAACGGATGGCTATGGAAGGTCAATATTGACCCCGAGACAGGCGAAGCCAAAACCGACGTCGTCATGGAAAACTTGGTCAGTCCCACGGCTGTAGAACTCGTCTACGTAGACGGGAAACCGAAGCTGTTCATCGTGTGCTGCGGCGAAATCGACCTTGGCTGGATCAACGCGGATGACAGGACATCATGGAGCGATCTTGCCCAAATCAACGCCAGCGTCACGGTAACAGTCACGACGGAGGAGGTAGTCGAAGCTGCCTAATGAAACACGGAGAAGAAAAAAAATTCAATTGGATCGGTCTTCAGTGCTATTCATCTATCGGCACTCATGTCTTGCATTCCTTGAAATAATACCCCAGCACAGCTGCATTTGAACACAAGGGAGGTGGGAGGACGGGATAGTGGTCTTGTTTTTAGTCATCTCGCGGTACATTTGATTTAGGATCGATCAACAAGCATTTACACATTGCACACTAGCTGCAGCCTGCTTGCATTGCCAACGGCAGTGAGACGGCGGCATCATCCTTGTGGTGCTGTGCCGTGTGGCTGCGTTGGTGAGTGGGTTATGGTGACAAGGAGAATGACATTATCATGAGACGCCGTAACCGGGTCGTTCGGTGCGGGCCGCTTGCTCTTTGCCTACTGACCTGTGCGGCACATTCCAAATTCTGTCGACGATCCAACTCTTCTGGGACTCGTGGTCAGTGCCATCACCAGGGGTAGATCAATCGGGTACGATGACTGGTGGCCCGTGGCCATGGGGATCCATCGCAGTTGATTTGCCCGAGTCAGTTGCTCAGCAAATCTAGACCATTCTAGGGTTGCCTACGCAGCGTAGAGTCGTGTTGACGATGGGTCAATGACAGTTGTTCCAACCATAATTGTCAAGCCTGTCATTCCGGATTATGTTTATGATCCTTGCTTTGGTTACTGATAACCATGTCAAACAAGGCTCGAGGCTCGTCGTAGAGATAGAGCAACCGGGCGAGACGCAGCCGGCTGGAGTCGAACTGGCGGTGAACGTGCCCGCGAGCTTAACCAAAGTGACGGATTACAAAAGCGCGAATATTACGACATGCGGCAGGGCGTAGGCAGCCACTGACCCGCCGGTTGATGGAGTTGAGCATGGATCTACCTTGAAACGTTGAAGTTCAGCTTCGACCAGCTGTTATAATTAAAGAACGATAAGCACTACAAAGCATGAGAAGATGACGGAGACCTGCCGCGTCCGTCCGAAAAGTCATATCGCAGTCCCAATAAAGATTCAGACTAGCAAATAATCCCACCCCGGGAGCCGTTCCGGTGACCAACCAGCGGCGGTCGCCTCAGCTGAAGAGAACTAGCAAAATCTAATCACACAAGCGCGGCCCCACGAGACAACGTCAACACAGCGAACCCTTGAAACAAAAGTCAGTGGTGTGCAGAACCACACGCCCTGATCGTTGTCTACCGCCCACAAAATGGCCTAGGACCAGGAACTCACATCCACGAATACCAAGATCCGTGTCCTGAACGACATCGTCTGAAGTGTTGATTCGCCAATGGAGAGCAGCATACAGACGGCCCGAGCTCTCGGGCCGTTGCCCACGTTTTTTCGGAGCATATTTCTGTCGGGAGTTGCATGCACGGAGGGCCGGGTACTCGGCTCATGCCATGAGAACTGATGCGGACTGCGGACCATTCCGGACAAGATCATCTCCATGCAGTCCCTGCAACGGCTCTCAGAACTGCAGGGCCCGGCATCTTGTGTTGCCATTTCGGCGGGGCTCGCAGGAGGAGTAGTCGGAATATGCCTCACATGTAATATTTTCCCGTCTTCGCATACAAACTCAGAGCAGCACAGGCCCGATGTTGCCATATGGCTCTGATGCAACAATACATACTACGATATGCAGCTTTTCAGTGTGACGCTGCGAAAACTCAATCCAGAATCGAGGTGAACGTGGCAGATGCCATACTTGTGTACACTTACGCGAGTCGATCCTCGCTCTCCAGTGTCGTATCACATCACATAATCAGAGCTAGATCCGCGTCGTGCGGCCAACGACTCAAACCAATAGAACTAAGTTTTGATATTAGATTGCTTTTCAAGCAGTATTACTTGATAAGTTTCAGTATTTCCCCATCCGGATTACATCCGGTGCAGTCAAACGCTTTATACATATGAGTGGGGTTTGCAAACCAAGCCACAGGACTGTATGCGTTTATTTGTTTGGGACATAATTTGCAAACCAGGCCAAATTTGGGTTGCCAGAAGCGCCCACTTGGGGCACCATGCAAGGGGAAAGCTCCGTCGTTCGTGGTCCTTTGGCCAAAGAGGAAGTGGTCCTCCGAGTCAACTGCTAATGTGCCTGCCCAGGCATTGCCAGACCCATTTTCACATAGCCTTTGCAGTATTAGCTGCATATCGTGGACACACATTACGCTTATCATGGCTGATGGCTAATAGTCGCTCCGCAGCGACAAGGGCCACAGTCGCAAAAGGGGAGACGACGTACGTATGCAGCGGGATTGGACAGAACAACCTTCTCACTAGAAGATAATATTTCGGAATCCGCGTTAGGCGACGTTGATATGGACTGCAAGTGATTGGGACGGATATCGAGAGTCGATAGAGGCAAACAATCTGGTCGGGTCCGGTATCAAGGTATCTTGGCTAGGATGACGTGACTATCTAATGGTCTCCTCCTCGAGTTGAAATATAGGTAAGACCATCCCATATCTCCATCGTCTCGCCTCTTGCTGCTTTCCGTACGCCCATTCTGGTATCTCATACGGACGTGAATGAGATATCTTACCCATCGTCAATTCTCCCCATCCTCCTCCTCCTCCCGCGCCCTCACAGTCCGAACGACCTCGCCATGTTGACCTCGTCCCCAGCCAGTAGCTCGGGGAAGTCAACTGACTTGACTGATCCCTCCTCTTCCCCAGTTCCCGGCGAGCAACAAATTCCATATGAGGACGTAGCCATCATCGGCATGTCCTGCCGCGCCGCAGGCGACAACACAGACCCAGAGAAGCTATGGCAATTCCTTCTTGCCCAGAAAGACGCTTCGGGAGAAGTTCCCGCCTGGCGCTGGGAGCCTTGGCTCCGCCGCGACGCCCGTAACAAGGCCGAGGTGGAGCAGACGCTTACCAAGGGCTACTTCATCGAGGACCTTGAGAACTTCGATGCAGCCTTCTTTGGGGTCTCGCCTAAGGAGGCTGAGCAGATGGACCCGCATCAGCGGCTCGGCCTGGAGCTGAGCTGGGAGGCGCTCGAGAACGCCGGCATAGATCCCAAGAGCCTGGCTGGCTCAGACACAGCTGTGTTCATGGGCATTGACTCGGATGATTACTCGAGGTTGCTCATGGAGGATCTGCCGAATATTGAGGCGTGGATGGGCATTGGTACTGCGGCGCATGGCGTGCCAAATCGCATTTCTTATCATTTGGATCTGATGGGACCAAGTGCAGCGATTGATGCTGCCTGTGCTTCTTCTTTAATCACTGGTGAGTGAATTTATGACGTGCACATCTTCTCATGGTTTGTCTTGGGGGGAATGTGTCTGTCTCAACTCCTGAGATGAACCATGAACCCCTGAGTCAGAGTCTGGGAATCCTTCCAAAGCTCAAAGTGGTCATTGCTGACTATCATTCAAGTACACATGGGCCGACAGGCTATTCTCAACCGGGAGTCCAAGGTCGCCATCGTGGGTGGTGTCAATGTGCTATTGGCTCCGGCTCTTACCCGCATGCTGGGTAAAGCAGGTGCGCTGTCCCCCGAGGGTATCTGTCGCTCATTCGACGACGACGCCAACGGCTACGCTCGCGGAGAGGGAGGAGCCGTCCTGGTTCTGAAGCGTCTATCCAGCGCTATCGCCGACGGCGACAACATCCTCGCCACGCTCAAGGGTAGCGCGGTTGCCCAAGATGGCAAGACTAACGGCATCATGGCCCCCAACGCAAAGGCACAAGAGCTGGTAGCTCGCCAAACCCTGACTCGCTCCGGCATTGACCCTTTGACTGTGGGGTACGTCGAGGCCCACGCTACCTCGACACCACTGGGTGACCCGACCGAGATATCAGCCATCGCTGCTGTCTACGGTGAAGGTGCCGGAAGAACGGCAGATAACCCTGTCTTCATCGGCTCCATCAAGCCCAACGTCGGCCATCTAGAGGCCGCAGCTGGCGCCATCGGCTTGATCAAGTCGGTGCTCGCCGTGAACAAGGGCCAGCTCGCACCACAAGCCAAGCTGAACAAGCTGAACTCGCGCGTCGACTGGAAGAAGTCGGGCCTGCATGTGGTGCGGGAGACAGCGGAGTGGACCAACCCAGACGGCCCCAGGCGGGCGGCGGTTTGCTCGTATGGATACGGAGGAACCGTATCACATGCTGTGGTGGAGGAGTTCACTGGCAATAACCTCTACGGCGATAGTATGCCGGCGCGATTGGAGACGGATCCTGTCCTTCTTACCATCTCGGCGGCGCAAGAGAAGAGACTTGTGAAGCAGGCCACGTCACTGGCAGAGTGGCTGTCCTCTCCTGCTGGAAAGGGAGAGAGCTTGGGTGCTATTGCCAACACCCTGGCACAACGCCGGGCTCATTATGATTACAGAGCTGCATTCGTAGTGACCAGTCACGAAGAGGCGATTGCAGCACTGACCAAGTTCGCCAAGGGTGACCAAGACGAAACGATTGCTCAAGGACGAGTCCTGGGCAGTGCCGACGGACTATCGCGGAACGCCGTATGGGTCTTCTCGGGTCATGGTGCTCAGTGGAATGACATGGGCAAGGAGCTGCTCCACGACCCCGTCTTCCGCCAAGCTCTTGCTACGTTGGAGCCAATCTACGAGAAAGAGGCTGGCTTTTCTGTCGTTCAGGCGCTCGAGACGGGCGACTTTGAGGCTTCAGAACGGGTGCAGATCATGACGTACGCCATCCAAATTGGTCTGAGCCAAGTGCTCCAGTCTAAGGGCGTGGGGCCTCGGGCTGTCATCGGTCACTCGGTTGGCGAGATTGCTGCTTCTGTTGTGGCAGGTTGCCTTACCCCGGAAGAGGGAGCTCTGGTCGTAATTAGAAGAGCTAAGCTGTATGCCCGAGTCCGTGAGCAAGGCCTCGGTGGTATGGCACTTGTCAACCGTCCATTCGCTGAGGTCGCGACTGAGCTTGGTGCCAGGAAAGACCTAGTCGCTGCGATTGACTCATCTCCTTCGACTTGCGTCGTGAGTGGCGACGCCGCGGCTGTGGATAAGTACGTCGAAACCCTCAAGTCGCGCAGCATCAAGACATTCCGCGTCAAGACCGACGTCGCCTTCCACAGCCCCGTGCTGGACCAACTTGCCGGACCCCTGGAGGAAGCGTTGGCTGGCGCACTCCACCCCCGCCCCGGCAATATCCCCGTGTACTCGACATCCCACAGTGATCAGCGCACCGACGCACCCCGGGATGTGGCCTACTGGGTCCACAATATGATCAGCCCCGTTCAGCTCAACGCAGCCGTCAACACTGCTGTTGATGATGGCTACCGCGTTTTTGTTGAAGTATCCTCCCACCCTATCGTCCTGCACTCCGTCAACGAGATCCTGGTGACGCGGAACCTGGACGAGAGCGAGTTCGCCACTATCTCAACCATGAAGCGCGACGCCTCGGCGACCAAGACCATCCACAGTGCCATCGCGCAGCTGTACATTCGCGGCGCGAATGTCGACTTTGCAACCCAGCTAGGCCACAAGCGCTGGTGGAGCAAGACGGTTCCCGGTACGCCCTGGGCGCACAAGCCCTACTGGAAGCAAGTCGAGACTGGCCCGCTGGGCGAGGGACAGATGCACGATGTCAAGAAACACACGCTGCTAGGTCAGCGGATTGCCGTCGCTGGCACTGACACGGTTTTGTACACGACCAAGCTTGATGAGAAGACGAAGCCCTTCCCCGGTACGCATCCATTGGATGGCACTGAGATTATCCCGGCTGCCGTGTATATCAACACATTCCACTACGCATCGGGCGGCTCAGTGATATCTGATATCCAGCTGCGCGTCCCGGTGTCCATGGGTCCCGAGACTCGCAACGTGCAAATCATCGTCCAAGGTGAGGAGATCAAGGTCGCCTCCAGCTCGACTTCAGCCCTCGACGACAAGGACCAAACCTGGGTTTCCCACAGCTCCGCCCGATGGAGCCCACTAGACAAAACCGTCGACAAGGCACAGACCTTCGACGTAGAAGCCATCAAAGCCCGCATCGGCACCAAACTGCCCAACAGCTTCTCCGTCGACTACTTGACCAAAATCGGCGTCGCCGGCATCGCCTTCCCTTGGCAAGTCGTCGAGCACTACGGCAACACGAAAGAGATGATCGCCAAGGTCGACATGGACCCCAGCGTCGAGAAGTACGACTGGGACGCCCGCTCGTGGGGTCCCTTGCTCGACGCCGCTACTTCCGTCGGCTCGACCATCTTCTTTAATGACCCAAAGCTGCGCATTGTCTCGCAGATCGACCGTGTCAGTCTCCTTTCAACCGACGCGCTGCCCAAGATTGGATACTTGTACGTCGAGGAGGCGGCAGACGCTAAGAGCCCTGGTGCGCACGTCAGTGTGTTGAACGAGAAGGGGGAGATGCTTGCCAAGTTCACATCGATGCGCTTTGCCGAGGTGGAGGGCGCGAGTGGTGTAAGTGGAAGTGTGGATAGCCTGGTGCACCAGCTATCCTGGATTCCGCCCAGGTTCGCGGAGAAGCCGCGGCAGTTGAACCAGGTTGTGCTGGTGTCGACTGATGCAGCGATTCTTGAGTCGTACGGCAATCAGCTGCAGTCGCAGACACAGAAGCTGTTCAAAGTGAGCAGTGTAAAGGAGCTCGAGGAGCAGACTGAGATCCTGTCTGTTCTGGGTCAGAAGGGTAGTGCTATTATATACGCGCCCGGCAGTGTCGAGTCGCTACAAGAAGTCTCCGCCGCCGCCAAGGACTATATCTGGGAGGCGACCAGTATCGTCAAGCTGATTGCAACCAAATCCCTGACAGCGACATGCAAGCTTTTTATCATCACCAACCGCGTTTACACGGGCGAGTCTACCACTGGACTCGCACATGGTCCGCTGTACGGCTTAGCCCGCATCATCGCGTCCGAACACCCTGATCTTTGGGGTGCCCTCATCGACAACGAGACAACGTCTATATTCCCAGTGATTGCAGCCAAATATGTGCACGAACAGGATATTGTGCGAGTGGTCGACGGCCTCCCCCGTTGCGCAATCATGCGGCCCCTGTCCAGGGAACAGCGTTACAAGCCCGATTCACTGCGCACACTGATGCCCAAGCCTGAGGGTACGTACATCATCACTGGTGGACTCGGACCCCTTGGTCTCGAAACCTGCAGTTTCTTGATCGAGAAGGGAGCCCGTCGCATCGTAGTGGTATCCCGCCGCAGCCTTCCCCCGCGAAACAAATGGTCCTCCCTAGCTACCACCGATCCCGCCCTCGCCGCAGTCGTTGAGCGCATCCAAAGTTTCGAAAAGCTAGGCGCCACGATCCACAGCCTCGCCCTCGACATCTCCGCCCCCAACGCCTCCGAGACCTTGCTCTCGGCTTTGGACAACCTCTCCCTGCCGCCCGTGCTCGGCGTAGTGCACGCTGCCGGCGTCCTCGAAGACGACCTTATCCTCAACACCACGAAATCATCCTTCTCCAACGTCCTGGCCCCTAAAGTGGACGGTGCTTTGGCACTGCACACCGCTTTCCCGCCTAGCTCCGGACTAGATTTCTTCGTCCTCTACTCCAGTATTGGCCAGCTTGTCGGCACCGCGGGGCAGGCCTCTTACGGCTCTGGCAACGCCTTTTTGGATGCGCTTGCGCTGCACCGCCGCGCGAGGGGAGATAACACAGTCGCTTTCCAGTTTACCGCCTGGAGGGGCCTGGGAATGGCTACTTCGACGGACTTTTTGACGTTGGAGCTCAGAAGTAAGGGTATCACGGACATCTCGGCCGAGGAGGCCTTCCGCGCATGGGAGCACCTGGGCAAATTCGACATCGAGGGCGCGGTAGTAACGAGATGCTTGCCCATTGACGAAGGTGAAGCGGTCGCCTGCCCCTTATTAGAAGACGTGGTTGTACGCCGCGCAAGAGCCGGGAACGCGTCTGCGCCCGACAGCAGCTCAGCTGCCGAGAGTGGAGCAGACGCCCGACCCACAGCACCGGATGAGTTGGCCAAGTGGCTCAATATCAAGATTAGGGAGTGCATCGCCGCCGTGCTGATGATGACGGATATCGACGACATTGATGCGCGCGCGCCCGTCGCAGATTTGGGCGTCGATAGTGTTATGACGGTTGCGCTCAGGCAGAAGTTGCAGAGCGCGTTGAAGGTCAAGGTCCCACCTACGTTGACGTGGAACCATCCAACTGTTAATCATCTGGTTGCTTGGTTTGTGGCAAAGTTTGCGGAGGAGTCGAGTTAAGCGGTTGACGTGAGCTTGAAGAGGAGGAAGAGTTTTTCTTACCGCGGTTTCGGGTTTGGGATGGAAGGTTTTGGGTCACAGGTGTTCCATTTCTTTGCATTCTTTCAAGACTTTGACTAGACAACGTTAGAACAATACTGATGAATAACGGAAATGTTTGATTTTAATTATCGTCTTGGGTGCCATTATATCTGTTTGTTGCGGAGGAGTAAAGCCAAACCCCCTTGCATGTTATGATGTTGCGGTGTCTTCCTGGATCATCCCAATAGTATTATGTTATTATATATGTAGGTCGGCTGGTGTAGTTGGTCACTTCGCTGGTAGATAAGTCCCGATTTGAGCCTCGCCCACTTGGGTCGGTGACGAGTCGCGGGTTCGAATCCCGCAGCTGACACACAAGGGGGTTTAGTCAACCCTTACGGCGCGCTGCCCACCTTGTTGACTTCGCCTACCTAGCGATAATAGGGAGATTGGTGCAGTTTAGGATTACGATCATCCTAGCCAGTCGACCGTCAAGCACTACGTCGGCGGAATATAACTCGACAGCCGGTCCAGAATTCGAATCGTTAATCCGACCCCTTATCGGACCCCCTCTCGCCGCGATTCTTGCGAGTGTCTAGACCACGTTACGGTCTATCCACTTGAGCGTATGGTTGAGATGTATACGCTCGACGAGAACCCCAATTAGCAGATACTACGACTTGTCGTGACAAAAAATAGTCGAGCATATTCTGCACATCAGCAGCATCCCACCCCTGAGGACGAATTTAAGTGCTACATTACCACACTTATCGGTAGTTCAGGCAGGGGTTGTAGCACAGACTTAGGGAGGGACAGGAGGTTTAGTAGTCGTTTGGCTACAAGTTTACCTGTATAACCGCCCGACGCGGCTTAAGGGCCCGCTATATCATCTATAGCCCCTTAAGGGAGTACTTGTAGAGGTACCGAGGGTTAACACCTACGGCGTATTTAATATTATTTATTATTTATATTATGTATGTAGATTTCTTCAGAAATATTGGAATTCTTGTGTTTGCATGCAAAGTTTGCTCTTATCATTTGATCAATCTAACTGTAGCTCAAGCATGCCCTTTTTGTATTCCCCAAGTAACCGGGGTTAGCCAAGCCAATTTGAGTCCAGCCTGCATTTAACGTGCTAGGAGATTCCTCAAGGATTTACCTTATTTCGTAATGGAATACCGACATTCAATTCGAATGAAGCAAGTGTTAAAATTGTTTGTGGCGATTCAAGCCAAAAACGAAGGACAACTTTGGCGTTGGAGCTGTGGATTAGAGAATCGAACTATGGAGGACATGTTGGCCAAGTCGGAGGCAGAAATTAGTAGATATTTTCAATCATTTTTACAGGTATACAGAAAACTCGGGTGTCTTGGGTCCAAGAAGCTTCGCTCTAAGGTAAGCTAAATTGGTTCGGTTCGGTTGATATTACAACAAGGCCGTCCATTCAGTGAAGTCCGTCGTCGTCGTCGTCGTTTTTATGTAGTAGCAAGATCAAAGGTACAGCGGGTGCAGTAGTTGAATGAAGCCTTAAGTGCTTGGCAATTTTCGAAAAGGAGATGCTACCTATTCTCTGGATGTGATCATTAAATATTTCATGGTTCTGATGGTTGTGATAACATATGAAAAAGAAAACAAAACTTTTTTGTATGCAGTCCGAAAGAAAACTGATAACATTTTGCTTAGTCGTGTAGTAGTCTCAAGCGAAGACTGGTTGGATTTCGTGCCAAAATATTGGACATGTAATTCTTAGACCACTAAATTTACGCACCTTGAGCGAGCTGATCACGCTGGGACCATAATTTGTGGCTATGTGGTGTCATTAACGTGAGGATGATATAGGAGGTTGTGATCGGTGATGTATGGATATTCATGTCTTACAAAGTTAATCTTTTGTGATCAGGTGCGTAGACATGTCGAATTAATACCTCGGCTAGTCATGAGGCCATATTCTCGGATCATCAGACGAACTCCTACACAATCGGTAGTCCAGTTATACTAGTGAGAGACATCCCTTTGGGGAAACTTGGCGCTCTTCACAAGTGTACCATATACCTGTTGCTTTTTTAGTCTCGCTGATGGCCCTCACTTAAGGTTCTGGCAAGCATTTATCTGATGGGCTGAGTTACAGCCAGACCAATGTCTTTGAGATTCACTGCTTGTTTTCTGTTTTTTTCTGTCTCGCCCTTTTGGGAGACAGGAAAAAAGACTGTTTTCAGCCTCTGAGGCCGTGTGGCATCTACGTATCTTCCAATATATTCAAAACGTTCCTCTGTGCTATTGTGCCTGAATTATATCTTTACTTTGGAATCGTCCATGCAAGAATATACTGAATGTGTGGGGCTTGGTGCTGGGAATATATAAGAGGGCAGCTTTCTCAGCTACTGGGACTCATATTGATATCGTATGTAATGGTGGGCATATGTTTCGTTATACAGCTTCCTGAAGGTAAGCACATACTCATGACATAGTTGTACGCTGTATTTCGATAGGGATCCTCGGAGTTTCTAGAGCGCCTATTATTTGCCACGGCGAGATGGGCTAATCTCAGACCCAAGTACACTAATATACAAACCACGTCAATAATTATGATAGGTATACTTCGTAATAGTTTTGCAGATTAGCGTTGCCAAAATAATTCTTAATCTTAATACAAGAGATATATGACTGCTCTGCTCGGTTATATACGGGTATTGACGCGTCCCACCGGTCCGGGGATCATCATGATAAGGAACGCGATGGTTTCGAAAGCCGACGTCGGAATGGCAGCATTGTATGTGATGAAATATCCTGCCGGTTGACAACCAATGCCTAGTCTCTAGAAAAGCACGAAACAAATCAATAATCCCTTCCATTATATTAAGTTTTGAGGTCACAAACCCGCATGAATATTTTCTGACGGCAAATCAATATTCCCATTCATCTTAACAGGTCAGCGACATAGCACTAATAAGGCTACCGCGACAATGAGTTCTGTGGCTAAATCAAACATCCTCGTCGTTGGATTCGGCGGTATAGGCACCATTACTGCCCTGAACTTGGAAGCTGGCGGGCAGGCAACTGTCACTGGTGTCTTCAGGTCCAACTACGATGCAGTCAACGAGCGCGGGCTCCGGATCTGGTCCTGCGATCATGGCGATATCCCGTCATGGAAGCCTACTCATGGTAAGCCGTACAGTAAATATACCATTGAATCAAATAGGACTGACAGAAAGCCAGTCGTTAAAAATGTTCCAAATGTCGCGGAAGATGGAGTAGATCCCTTTGATTTCATCGTCATCTGCACCAAGAACACCCCTGACATCCCTCCAACAATCGCCGAGATCATTGCACCATCAGTGACCCCAGGACGCACTGCCATCGTTTTGGTCCAAAACGGGCTGAACATCGAGAAACCCATTATTGCCGCATTCCCTTCCAATGTGGTCATCTCAGGGGTATCCCGCATGAGCTCCTCCGAGCTTAGCCCGGGTCAGGTCTTCCACCAAGACCATGACGACCTAATTATCGGCCCTTTCAGAAACCCAAACTTGGACCGCGCGAAAGAAATGGTGGTTTCGCAGAAGTTCGCCGACTTGTATAATGCGAGTGGCAAGGCGACGGGCCAATTCGACGAGGACACGGCGCTTGTGCGGTGGAAAAAGCTCGTTTATAATGCTTCTTTCAACTCGTTGTGCGCTATCACGGGGTTGGATACCACGGGGATCCGGGTGGCTGGGTCACCGGTTACGGGGTTGCTGTTGCCGGTCATGACGGAGATTAAGAATATTGCCAGAGCTGCCGGTGTGAACCTGCCAACTGATCAGGAGTTTGTGGCTCTGGATGCGGATCCTATGGGCTCGTACTTCAAGCCGAGTATGCAACAGGATATCGAGAAGGTAAGGATTAAACCCCTGAATTTTGATTGCTTTTGAAGCTAACATCTCGTGGGATAACTACATGGAAATGGAAGTCATCGTTGGAGAGCCTCTAAGAGAGGCACAGAAACTAGGAGTCCCGGCTCCAACATTAGCATTTGTGTATTCCATGTTGAAGGCATTGCAGGCCCGTACGAAGCAGAAGAAAGGACTAATGGAGCTTCCGCCGATGTTGGAATTCGACGGGGCCACTGAAATGTTAGCCAAGTTAAAAGGGACATCATAGGGCTGGGATTATCTAGAGGGTCGATTCGTTACCTGTAGTAGAGAGCTTCATAGGTATGGATTTGCGGGACATAGGGCTAGCCTCATTTCACCTTTGAGATATGGCGAGGCTTCGTACTATTTTCCGAGCTTATATAGTTGCTCCTGTGGGAGAGGATTGTCACAAGAGGACCAAGCCCCTAGGCCAGTAGACCAAAAGATCTACAAATGTCAGTGTTACTGACATTTGGTCCCACTAACTGCTATATACAGCACTATGTGGCTCTGTAATCGCCAGCGCTGTGACAAGGATGGTCGGGGGTCCAAGCCGCATGTTGGACCTTCAAGGCCATTGAAACCGAATTGCCAGTTTGTGAGGCTGTATGGCTACCTAACGCACGTTATGAACCAATATGACCAGCATCCACCGTAACATACTATTTCTGTCTGCGAGGCAGGCATCGTTCATATCTACATATATAAGGCCCTTATGGCCACAACACACTCTTTTGAAGATGAGGATCTACATATATCTACCCACTTTCAAGGCAATACAAACTACAATTAGTCTAATATTGCACAAGGGCCCCTAAAGTATCTCTGATGTACCTCACTATGACCTCAGGCCACTAATTCCACAGCTCCTTCATAAGGTACTTTGTATTACTATAGAAAAGCTTTCAGTTGATGCAATAAAAGAGCTTTCCGTTGCTATATTCTTCATAAAACCCAACATTAGGTAGGGATACTACTGGAGGAAAATTTCGAACGTCCTTCGCAAATCTAGCCTTCCAATTAGTCAAAATCGTTTAACGTGATCCACAAGTCATTTTCGCACACAAGTCACTTTCGCACTTTTTCAAATATTTCAACCTTTTAACTTAGCTTGCACTTTTCTTCCCTCCCACAACATGCCTCGTAAATCCAAAGAAGCCGATCTTCAGCTAGCTATCCAAGCTAAAAAGCGCAACCCTGAAATTTCATGGCGTAAGCTTGGCCGTATCTACAACGTTTGCGACCGTACACTAAAGAATCGATTCGACGGCGACCAAACGCGACACGAAGCTAATATGTTAAAACGAAATCTAACTCAAACCGAAGAGGATACGATTGCCCGACGTATAATTGAGCTAGATGCGCGAGCATTTCCTCCTCGGCTTCGATACGTTGAAGAAATGGCGAATATCCTACGACGCGTACGCGACGCGCCCCCCGTCGGCAAGAACTGGACCACGAACTTCGTTAACCGCCGACAAGACCTCCGAACGCGTTTAAACCGTCGAATTGATTACCAGAGGGTATTTAGCGAAGATCCTATCGCGTATTACGCGTGGTTTGAGCTTGTTAGGGACACAATCGCTAAATACGGTATCCTACCGGAGGATATCTACAACTTTGACGAGACGGGCTTCCTAATGGGCATAATCACAACCGATATGGTTGTAACGAGTGCAGAAAGACACGGACGGCCTAGACAGGCTACACAAGGAGGTCGGGAATGGGTTACGGTGATCCAGGCTATTAATTCGCAAGGTTGGGCGGTACCGCCGTACATCATCTTCGCGGGCAAGGTTCATCTTGCTTCGTGGTATCGCGGTAACGACCTACCGGCCAACTGGAAGGTCGACCTTTCCCATAACGGTTGGACTACTAATAATATTGGTGTGGAATGGGCAAAACACTTTGTTCAACATATTATTAGCCGTCGTAAGGGTGCGAAAAGTCTCTTAATATTGGATGGTCACGAGAGCCACCACTCGATGGATTTTGAGACTTACCTCGCGGCGCACGGCGTAATTACATTGTGTATGCCTTCCCATTCATCCCACAAGCTCCAGCCTTTGTATTTGGTACCTTTTAGTGTGTTGAAACGGCTGTACGGTGCGTTCGTGGAGGGTTTAATGCAAAGGCATCAAACCCATATTGAGAAGCAGGATTTCTTAGCTGGGTTTTTAGAAGCTTTCATTGGTACTTTTCACGAAAAAAACATCAGATCAGGATTCGAAGTAGCTGGACTTGTTCCTTTTAACCCGGATAGGGTCATATCTATGTTGGATATCGCAAAAGTAGTACGAACACCGACACCCGACCCCCAATTGCCTCCCTCCGTCTGGGTTTCTAAGACGCCTACCAACACTCTCGAAGCCGAATCGCAGTCAACTTTGATTAAAAGTAGCGTCCAGAGGCATCAAGACAGCTCGCCGACGCATATTTTGAACTCAATTAACTCGACTACGAAGGCTACGCATGCAATGATGCATGAGAATGCATTATTACGTCGGGAGAACGAAGAGCTTCGTGAGACGAACCATATACTAAGTAAGGGTCGTAGGACGAAAAATAAGCAAATCCAAGATGGAGGAGCACTTAGTATAGGTGATGCACAAGTTTTACGGGCCTTGAGGGGTGATATCAAGGTTATAGAGGAGGAAGAAGGGGAAAGCAGTCGTCCTGTAAAGCGCCGGCAGACCGGTATAAGGCGCTGTGGTATTTGCGGAGGGACTGGACATAATGCAAGGACTTGTTCAATAGAAGTAGAAACTGATAATGAAGAAGATTTTGAGTAATTTAAAGGATAAAATGCGGGTTATGCATAGGATATTACTGAATTACTTGAAGGTGCCAAGAAAAGTGCGAAAGTGACTTGTGTGCGAAAATGACTTGTGGATCACGTTAAATCTACTTATATAAAAATCCTATCAGTTGGTATAATCGGTATTGTATAGCATTTAGGTTCACTAGCTAATTATATATCAACAGGAAGTTCAAGTCAAAATTAGTACTTATAGGAAAGATAAAAAGTACGAAGTTTACTGAGGGACTTAAGAGTCTCTGCATAACAAAAGCTATAGGTATGAAGCCCATTTAGTAAGCTATTGGATTTCTTTACGAAGGTTATAGTAGTTAGTAAAAGGGGTTCCAGGGGGTCTTCCCTTGATATTTAAAGACTATGTAGCAAGCTATCAAATATATTTATAAGACTACATATCTACTGAAGTAGCTAGTAATGATTAAGACCTAGCTGAGGAGCCTGACAACCTCTGAAGGTCCTCGCTGGTGTGATAATGCTGTAGTCACTTTACTTTGCTTTGCTGCATATTATGTTGCAATAGCTGCATAGTGCCGAACATCTCAATAAATGCAGCTCCCGCCGAAAATTCGAGTTGGACCTCCACCTGAATTCCTTTTCCGCATCACGCATATCACGAAATTGTAAAGGCGAATTGAAAAGTAATAAAGCAATCGCCATATATCCTAAATTTGGTGGTTCTCTCACCTTTTTTGCACACCTGGACGATAGGGTTCGCAAAAATGGAAGAACTCCCCATTGAACCCCACGGCATCTTCTGGCAGGCCGACTTCATCACCCCAGAGCACGAACAAAGCCTAATCCACATATTTCAGCACACCCTACAATGGCCCGCGCGCTCGGGCCGCCTATCCCTGCACTACGGCTACACCTTCGACTACAAGACCTTCGGTGTGGACCCCGACATCCCCTTCAAGGAATTCCCGGACTGGTTGCAACCCCTTATCCCGCTCGTGGACGGCAAACCCCCGGTGCAGGTATGCCTACAGCACTACGCACCCGGGACGGGAATCCCGCCACACGTGGACACGCACTCGACGTACGATGAGCTGTTCGCTTTGTCGCTGGGGGCACCGGTGATGATGCAGTTTCGACGGGGCGAAAAGAGGGTGGAGATTGATCTGGCGCCAAGGAGCATGATGCAGATGAGTGGTGATTCGCGACTGCACTGGACGCACGGAATTAAGAAGCGCAAGACCGATACGCTGGGGGACGGGACCGTGAGGCAGAGGAGGGATAGGTGGAGTATTACGTACCGGTGGTTGCGGGAAGGGGAGTGCGAGTGTGGGAATGAGGACCTGTGCGATACGGCGCAGAGGAGGAAGGGGGTTGAGAGGGAGTATAGGTGGAAGCAGGCATCGGAGACAAAACCTAGCAGTGCTGGGGAAGTCACGGAGAAAGGAGTTCATTAGTCGTGGATGAATAAAATATGAAAAGAGCAACCAGGGCAACAAAATGCAACTAATACTGGTCAGGGCTATGGTTCGAACGCTCGAGTCCCAGTTACTAGCTGTAGGAGCGTCCTCCGTTGACTACTGTACCAAACAGGGGTGACTCATACACTGCTTTTGGCCCTCATACGGCTTTATGAGTGTACGACATTGGTCCGAGTATTTTGTTTAGGTGCACTCGTTTCGATCGCATCTCTGTTTGAAACGAGTTAATCATCTAAATGAAGAGCGCAAGCGTTTGTCTCGAACGCTATAGCCTCCTGCTAGAATGGCCAGCCACTGAATTCTAAAATCAACTTCGCCAGTAGGCATGAGTGTAAGACGGAGTTGTTAGCCTGTCGAACTGCACACATGCGATTTACGTCTATTAAAATATCTGACTGCCTTCGAATCTCAAGTCCCGGTCCGTGACGTGCCTCCCATTAAGTACCAGTTACCCCCTTCAGGGACTTACGTACCCACTCAACGATACGCGACAAGGAAACTTGTCACGAGGATGGGCAGCCCCAGCCTCGACTTGATACACTTTCTCATTATCCACATTCGTCAAATCGATCTTCCTATCTCCATCCACCTCGTCGTAACACTCCTTCACGTTGAATTCTCTTGAAAGCAACACTAAAAACGCCTTCACCTCCTTAGTCACCAGCGCCTGACCAGTACACAGGCGAAGCCCGTGCCCGAAAGGCCCCCATGCTCCCTTCAAGGGGTACAGCTCGTGGCCCGGCTCCACCAGAAATCTCTCAGGAACGAACTCCAGCGGCCGCACCCACAACTTGGGGTTGCGCTGAATGCTGAGGTGGCTGATCTGTATACCGCAGCTCTCGGTGGGATACTCGTTTCCGGCCTCATCCTTGAGCACCAAGTCACGGCAGCCCTGTCGAATTCCGGCTGCAGCAGGGAAAAGGCGCAGCGTCTCCTTGATAACTGCGTTGGTGTATGGCAGGGAGTTAAGAAGGGCTGGGTCGTCAGCGATCATGTCCATTGCGGCTGCCACGTTGCGTCCAAATACGGCGTCGTGCTCTGCACGAAGTTTAGCGAGTACCTCGGGGTGCTTCCAAATTGTGTAACAGCAGTACACCATGGTTGCTGCCGTGGAGTCGTAACCAGCGAAGAAGAACATGCGGAGCTGCGCGCAGAGCATCTTGAGATAATCGGCGTCCACTTCGTCGGTCGCGCGTCTCCCGGCCTGAGAGTAGTACGTCTCGAGGGCGATATCGAGGATCGACTTGAACGAAGCCTGTTCGTCGTCGATTTTGGCCGATCGATATGCCGCCACTCTGTTGTTAATCTGGGCTCGAATATGAGTGTCAAGGATACAGCCATTGTTCCAAAATTGGAACAACTTCACCGGGTTTAACCTCCCCAAGTTACTAACCACACCATTGGCGACGAACTTGAGATTCAATTGCCGGATCATGGTGTCGCTCAGTGGATGTGCCGTGGCTTGTGCTCCGAGCTGAGCATTGAAGACCAGTCTTCCAATGATATCGTTCATGAGAGCCAGGGTCAACGGTTCCAAGGAGAATAGCTCTCCCGACTTCGATAATGCGCGCAGCTTGTCCCGATAGATGGCCATTTGTTCAACCACGAAGGGGAAGGCAGCGTCCAGATTGCTGTTGCTGAAAAAGGGCATGAACAGATTGTGATCGTGCCTCCATGCATCGCCATTTTGCGTAAACAGGTTGGGACCGCCTGTTATGGGCAGGAACCAGTCTATCAACGCAGGAGGTTTTTCTGCGCTGGAAAATGGGTGGTTCATTACCTGGTTCGCCATATGCGGATCAGAGACGGTGAGGATCGGCGTCATCACTGGGAACATATCAAGATAATATGCCCCTGTGCTGCCGTATTTAGCTGTCATCCTGTTCAAGATGTGCATGCTGTGAGCGCCGGGCGGTAGCTCTTCGCTCGCCGTCTTTCCTGCTAGCAGGTGGCCGAGGATTGGATTAAAAGGAGGCATCGGCTCGAACCGCATTAGACGTGGAGAAGCATTTAGGGAGTCGAGGTTCATCGTACCTTTTCTAGCTTTCGCATCCTCATGATGAAACGCCTCGCTGTCCATAATGCTAAGATGAACCTGATTGCGCGAGCTAGAAGCACGGCCAGCAGCATGCCGGCGACGGCATTGACAACCAACGTCGCAGTACCCATATCGCCGTGATCCAGATCTGTGCGGCAAGTTCCTAGTTGATGTGGCTGATGGGAATACTTAAAACGAAGGGATGAGCGTTGTGTTGAATATTCATCTGGCGACATAGATCATAGCCGTCAAGGGTTCATAGCGTTGGGAAAGCCGAGGAGGATGACGTTCTTTAGGACAACGAGTTCTCAACCTGGTCTGAATCCTTCTGGCTTGGCGCACGTACGTACAAATTGGCAGAGGAGAAACGATTGTTGCAAAAGTTGTTAGTAATTCGTTGCTAGGTATCAGAAGCGGACGGGGAAGTTCAGTCTAAGGATAACCCACGATCTCGGGGTTTGCCTCAACGGACTGGAGATATAAGAACGATTCGACCCTTCTTGAATGCCCTAATTTCTCGATGGTATGATCGCTACTTGATCTTTTCAAGGCTGATCGTGCTTGTGAGACTCCCAATGGCGCCAAAATATATCTCATATTACAGTCACGCTTCTCAGGCGCAGGCGTCCAGATCTTACCAAATCCCCCGTATTGTGCTAATATCCGGCAATACAACCTTAATTCCGATTGCTTCATCGCCATCAACAACTTTATGCATGTTGAACATCCACCTTCCCGATCAACAGCAGAAGGAGATGCTTCAGGATTGAGTTATCGAGAACGGGGGCTGCATTACCAGTTATGGAATATTGAATGCAAGTCGCACGCCTTGATGTACAAAAGGCAAGTACCTGGTCATCAAGAATGTGCTTTTTACAGACCCAGTAAAATAAGCCACCATCCCACTTTACGATAAGATAACGACCAAAAATTTCTGGGAAGCAGCGAATAGCTTCACCAACACCTGCGCTGAAGGCCCGCCGTTCAATCCAGCACTTCTCAAGTTTCTAGCCATTACAAAAGCCACCAAGCTCCGCAACACCAATAAAATGCCGAAACCACGCAGCAAGCGACAAGCGATTCGCGACGAACGCAAACAGAAGCGGCGCGAAAAGAACTTCACCGACCGTGATGCGAAGCGCCAACGCCTCGATGAAGACGAAAACGAAGACGGCATTGCGAGGGAGACCAACGATGAAGCTACCACATACGAGAATTGGGAGGACCAGCACACGTCAGGGGGCCATCCTCCGCCTGAACGAGAATTCTTTGGCATGTTGTCTGAGGAGGACCAAGAATGGTTTCGATCCGCCGACCAAGACCTCGACGCAGACGAGTTCGATACACAGGAAGACCGAGACAAATACCTGGCTGGCGTATTCACTGCAGCCCAGGGAAAGGAGTTGAAGATCGCCTGTAGTCAGTCATGTTCACGGCTGATGGAGCGCCTGATCATCATGTCAAACACACGGCAGAAGAAGCAGCTGTTCGAGCAGTTTGCGACGCATTTTCTTAACCTTATGCAACATCGTTTCGCAAGCCATTGCTGTGAAACTCTTCTACTTCACTCAGCCCCGATAGTCACAAGGGAGCTCGGAGGCGACAGAGACGACCTTGGTGAAGCCGATGAGCAACAGCTACCGACCATGGAGGAACTGTTCCTCTTAACCCTGGACGAGCTCGAGGGGCAATTGGGATACCTGATGACCGATCGATTTGCCTCTCATACTTTGAGGGTGTTGCTTATCATTCTCTCTGGCCGGCCCTTGGAGCAGTCTACCACAAAGTCGCTTATTCACAGCAAGAAGAAGGAGCAAATAGCAGTGCCTTGGACCTCGACGGGCAGCAGCGAATTGAACGATCAACTTCGACCCGTCCCATCCTCTTTCACTTTGGCAGCAAAGAAGATTATCGCGGACTCAACATCAGACATGGATGCTACAGCTCTGCGAATCATGGCAACCCACCCGACAGGAAACCCCGTCCTCCAACTTCTCCTTGACTTAGACATATCCCTCAATGGCAAGGTGGAGGGCGAGGCGAGCGAGATGACTTTGTTGTGGAAGCTTCTGCCAGGCGCCCCGGCATCATTGAAGGAAGCTACGTCGCCGGCATCTGATTTTATCAGCGCCATGCTGTACGACAAAGTCGGATCCCGGTTGCTAGAGACTCTCATCACCCAATGCCCTGGCAAGCTGTTCAAGGCACTCTTCAAGTTCAATCTTGGCGATCGCATCCAAAGTCTCGTTCGCAATGACATTGCATCATATGCAGCGATACGAGTTCTCACTCGTGTGGGCAAGGAAGATCTCATAATGTGTGTAAGGAAGATCTTGCCCGAGGTTGGAAAGCTTCTTTCGCTTTCGCGCTTCAACGTCATAAAGACACTCTTTGAACGGTGCCAAGTACGCGAGGCTACCAGCGAAATCGATTCGCTTCTGAAAGCACTGGTTGCGGCGTGTGGCTCAGACTACAAGACGCTTGTTCCTAAACTGTGCATCCCTCCGGCAGAGGAGAAAGACTCGAAGAAATCGCAAGATTATTTGTCGAAAAACCAGGCTGCCATTGTTGCCCACGGCTGTCAATTAACATCAACTCTACTCTCAATCCGAGGCTTGCCATCGACCGCAGTACAGACTTCGCTCCTGGCTCTCCCGTCCGCGGCTCTGCAGGACCTCGCAACATCGTCCGCCGCGTCATCACACGTTCTCGTTGCTGCGCTTGCAAGCCGGTCGCAGAACAAGACATTTCACAAGGTGCTTGTTGTTTCGCTTAAGCAAAACATGATGGCCTTGGCACTGTCTGATCACGGTAGCAAGGTGGTGAGCGCTATCGTTTCTGTTCCATCCAAGGGCGACGGTGTTTCCCTCCCCTTCCACTTGAAGGAACAAATTTTAGGACAACTAGAACAACACGAACAGGAGTTGCGCGACTCGTATCACGGGCGACGTGTATGGAGGGCATGGCAGGGTGATTTATGGAAGACAAAACGGACTGATTGGATTTCGTGGGCGAAAGAAGTGGACATCCACTCAGAGGAAGTGGCATTACCGCCGTGGAAGAAGAAGGCAATGGGTACTCTCAAGAGTGCACGTCCGAATAACAATCCGAATCCGAATATGGTTGAGGTCAACGAGGGAGCAAGGAAACGGAAGAGAGGTGACGAAGAGGACGATGCAGCAGCTTAGGGGGGCGTACCATGATGCCATTCAAGCTTGGCTTCCCAGTTCAAATATTCGAGTCATAATTGTGCTGGAGTCCTCAACTACAAGATACCAAATACCATCTTCCGTACCGGTGTCTGATTTCAGTCTGCTAGCTTGGCTGGTCGCCTCCTAGGTCTAAAGTATTTGGCTACTCATCACCGGTCTAATTAATATCTAAACAAGCACCTTAAACGGCAGTTGCTGAACGAACCTCCGAAGTGTGACGGAGAGTAATGACAGTTATTGTAACACCTTCATGATGAGATTATTCTCCGAAGAACCAGTTTCATCTGTAACCATTGTGCGGCTGAAAAGTCATAAAGATCGTGTGGAGTTCTTCCTGTACACTGGTATTTCATCCGTGCCTGCCACGCCGTCGTCGCATGGTAAAGTTGCATACAGCTGAACCTTACAAGTTGTGGAAATTTGGCTCTACACGTTACGTCCCCCAGGCTCTGATTTCCCTTTTTCTTGTCTGAACTCTCAAGAGGAATCTCTTGCGAACCGAGGCACGCTTTTACGCGCTTGGATGGCTGCTTCGTAACGATTACTGGTGATGGGCCGGCTCACTGGCATAACATTGAACATGAAGAAAGTCCTGTTCTGTCCCCAGTCGGAGGATGGAGTCGAACTGTGTTGTGTTATTGATCGCGTACTGTACGCGATCAATATGATCCCTGTCTGCCATCCATATCGAATGCGCCGAGGCTATGGGCGGATGAATGTGCTTAGGCTGCGAGGCGAGCGGACATTGCGCATCGAGTTTGATGGTCAATCGGGCTCTGAACCGTATCACAACATGCGGCGGCATAGGAGTTGAGACAGATGTCTTTGGAGCAATTTGCTTCGTTTTTACCATTTTTTTGTCTGCCATGAAAGCATCTGGTCTGGAAACCCTCGTGCGTGCCCGTGGCAACAACTAAATCTCTCGAGACCTCCGACATCCGGCAGGTTTTATATCGAGTTTTCTACGTTCATGTAAGAACGAACATCACACCAACCATACATTATCGTAGACAACAAATGTCCATACAATGCCAAGACTCCTCAACCTCCTTCCTCATGATGCAGCCATATTCCAGGTCTGCTCAACTGCTCTCCTTGCTTTTCAGGTCTTGGTGAAGTTTCATGCCTGATAGTAATTTGCAGGCGCCTTGGATCCCAATTTTGAGGTCGACTCATATCGCCTCGCGGGTCTCCGGGCTTCAAAAAAACATCCCGTGAGTTGCCCGCTACCGTCCAACATAACATGGCTCGGTCGTCTAAAGTTGATTGTTCGCTCATGCATCCAACAACCGAGAGTGGAGTGTGGTGCATCTGCGGGATCGATGACAATTCCTATGTCCGTACGTCAAAGACATTAAACAAGTGTGCGGCAGGAAATCATTAATGAGATGTGTGCTCCAACAAAAATTCCCAAATTCATATCCCCACAATCCCTAGGCGTTGTGTCTTTCGTGACGGGGGTCGATATCGCTTGCTCGTTAAGAAAAAAAAATGAACTCGTCGAAACAGTTGAACGCCCCAATGCCAAAATGCATGTACAGCAGCTCGTGGTATGCAAACCCTAACAGGTCTATCGCGTGGTATCTCAGAAAAGAAATTGACTTTTGCAAACTTCCTTATCATGTTGTACAACGACTGTCATCAATGCGGTCGTGCGGTGGCTGAATAGCTGTTCATTGTTGTGGTCTGGCAGCGATTCATTGCTCAGAGCCAAAATCGACAAAACTCTCCCATGCCCCTTCACTCATGCCAGCAGCTGGCGTGCCCAGCCGGTTGTAATCATTGAACGGGTCGTAGAAATCGTCGATGGGCGAGAAAAGGGTGTCATCCTCCAGCTCTACCGAATCGTGCGGGGAATTGGGCCCGCTAGCCTCCTTAGACGCGGGCGTAGGTTCGGTGGCATTCTGGGCGACATTGTGCTTGACCGATTCTTCGGAGTGCTGTCCAAACATCTGCAAAGCCGAAATGTTAGACCCCAGGAAGTGGGCGGCCATCGGGTCATTCATATCAATGTTGGCCATCATCTTGATCTCGTTGGGCAGTTCCGATGTGAAAAACGATGAAGGGTGTTGCTGCACGAGCTGGGGATCCAGCGGTGGGAATGCCTGCATCGGAGTTTGGTATGGTGTACTTCTCGAGTCTGGCGTCTCTGAAGTCGACCCAGGAGATAGTGATGGTGGGGAAGACACGGCCGTGACGTTGGGCGTAGAGCTTGTTGAGATGCGCCTATTTTTGCTACTAAGCTGCGACTGACCAGGTGTCGAATGGTTCCGACTCGGGGGTGAAGTCACCTCGATTGGGGACGTCGGGATGTACTGGTTGCCGCCGTTGTTCATCAGCGGACCCATGTACAGGGATTGGTTGAGCTGTTGCTGGTATGACATGGCCGTGGGGAAGGATTCGTTGAAAAGGCGATTGACTTCGTTGTACCTCGCCATTGTCGCCATGGCCGCTTGTGTTGTGATGTACGCACTCACGCGACTGTTCATATCTGCGGAGTTCGTCTGAAGGTGGGCCGCCAGGTACTTGTATTGCCGTGGCAGGTCGTCTTCCTCCTCTTCATACATCTCCTCCTTGATGACAATTTCCTCGGTAACCTTCAGACCACGACCCGTCCGCCGCCTGTGGATTTCAGAAGCCATCCTCGCCGACTGCACTCTTGCCTCCAAGCTCCGGTCGGCTCGTCTGGATGCCGCGATGTAGGCTCTCTCTTGGTTCTCTTCGTGAGATCGCTCAGTCTGGTTCAATGGTCAGGGGATGCTCTCGATGATATGAGTATGTCCAAAGCTCTGCTTGCCTTCTGCGCCTTTACCGGCGGGACCCGCTCTGTAGTCGGCATGACCGAGGCGCTGTCGAGTGGACGTTTCGGCATGGAACTGGTTTGGTGACACCGTGATGAAAGAAAAGGGTTTGGTTGAGCGTATAACTGGTCACGACGCGGGATCGATGAGGTAATGCAGCAAGAATTGAAATACGGTAGGCTGAATGTAGATTGTTGAGAGTATTATGAAGCTGGATAGGTGTAGGATACCTCTACTTGACTGTAGAAGAGGTTGGAAGCGGGGTTATGGCAATACCAGTCGGCAGGCTGCAAGCCACGAACAGAAGCAGAAGCTTGATGCAATTCAAAATTCGCTACTGCAAGCTCTAGTTCGTCGTGCGTGGCCGGGAATAGCGAGATGTCGTGGACGCCGACGGACCTTGTGTTCCCACAGACAGAGTTACTTTGGATGCTCAATGTTCAAACCAAGGTAGGAGAAGTCTGGATTGCCGGGTAATATTTGCAGCAGCGCCGTTCGTGAGAATCGATTATCGTTCAGTAGATATTGAAGGAGCTTGGGAGTTGGCTGGAGCAGGCATAGGCGGTCCAGGGGGCGAAACAATATATAACAAGGAATTGGGAATCCAGCCCATATGCTTGCTAGTTCCACGATGTTACGGAAGGTACGCCGGATGAGGGGCCAGTTAGCAGTGCGTTCCAGCACAGTAAACATGGGACAAGAAGTACCCGGCAACCACTGGGCTTGCACTGGGGCTTCGATCGAATGCACTGTCAGGGATTCCGAAAGACTGATCAGGCTTGATGCGGGAGAATGCTTTGGTGGCGATCGATCGTGATGAAGTTAAACTGGGACCAATGGCATTGCGCCAGAGCTCTGAGACGCGGCATGGTTTGGCAAGGAGTGAGGGGAGATAGTGCCCAAAGTACTGGCCGCTATTGCCCAAGCCGGGACTAGGTCCAGTATACTGGTGGTCTTGAAAGGCCAAGCGCACACCCGGCCAGAGAGGAAGAGAGGCATTTCTGCAGAGTAGCATTTATCTTCAAAGATCAAATCTACACAGTCCCGGCGATATGATATGAAAATCCATCCATTCTGACAGCCACATTCTACGTCGGCATGCTTCCAGGCTGGCTGTGCGGGATCGCGTAGCACTACTTCGTTAGAGGAAGGCAATTTTCCTGTCAATGTCAGAAGTCCAGAGAGGTAGCCATCTTGCACGATGCTTTGCGTTGGTTTTTTTTTCGGTACTTCCCTTGATGAGAACCTTCATTGTTGATCTTCTTGTTGAAAGCAAGCGAGCGTTCGGCAGACCGTTTAGTTGACTTTCACTATACTCTAGGCTCATGCATCTACTTTGGCCTAGGCAACTTCGGCGAGCCGTTCTGGACGTTGAACGAAATGTGTTGCTGGCTTGAAGCTGACTCCGCTCCAGAAACGTCAAGCAGCTCTCAAACCAACGGTATCGTTATCTGAGAGCAAGGTTACCCTGGGTTCTAGGAATATCCTCCTTCCTGTTCCCCATCCTTTCCTCAGCTTTCCTGCCTTGCCTGTTCTCCACTGCGGCAATGCCAAGTCTTTAATCAATCCCGCCGCTTCCATTCGGCCTTCCCAAGACTTCCGCCCCTCCATCTCAAGCATGCACACAACCTCAGTAATGAATTGGATCCCTGGCGGAATCGGACATAAGATGCGCATTGCTTGCAGTAGCACGAGGTTCATTGGGTGGTTTTTGCGTTCTGATTACAGTGCCACATAGCATGGCCAGGAAGCTGTATTCTTGTTATGGGTTGACTTTTCTCGTGCGGCCGCAGTTGCCCAAACTCGGTCCAGCTCGCAACCAGGACCAGACAGGCATGTCAAAACTCTATTTGAAGTCCCTTTCTTCTGAGTGGCCCACCTGCCCACCTGCCCACCTTTCCCACCTTCAGAACGGGCATTTTGATGTATCGAATTGACTCTTGGGAGTTCGTCTGCTTCATGATCCCCAACCCTGAAGACTGTCGATACACATCCAAAGAGTCCTACTTGCCATCAGGCCTTTTCACTTGCAAGCCGTTGAAAGGGTCTCCAGGATGTGCAGAGCTCCCCCGTGCGAGCACTTGTACTGCGCTCTTTGGCCTGTGACATATGAGCTGGTGCCTGCGAAGCAATGGTAGATGCCATTATGCACAACCCCAGCCCTGTGAGGACTCCGACGACCCGATCGAGTTATGGGGATCCATGTGAGCAAAACTACGAGACCAATCACTACTTCCTAGAGATGCTTATCTTGGTCGGCGATAATGCCAACTATCGTGAATGCCTTCTTCATTGGCTTGTTTTCACAGAATTCAATCTGCTGCGTGCAATTGAATTGATCAACTCGAACCTTTACATATCTTGTGGAAGTCTGCGAAAATGCCCAGATGCAAAACTGCTTGCCGATGATATCGTACCCCATTGCAGTGATACGAGTAGGTTGGCACCCCGCTGACACAACTTGATAGGATGGGAGAATGTCTGTTCGCGTTCGAGAATGCCATTTTGGATGCCTTTCTTTCAGCAGACCAGTGATTGTGAGACACCCTGTAGTCTCAGCAATGTGGTTGCGAGAGTCACAATCTAGCCAGAATCATTTTTGTGCAACTGAGAAGCATATCTAGCTGCAACTGTTCGGACCTGTGCACATTCGGCTGTCACCCTGCATGTCCTGGCCATGGAATTTGCGGTTGCCTCCAGTTCGAAACTCCTCGACCACCCGAGGTCTAGGACCCGCTGGTCTACCAATGTGAGTGCCAGTTTGGCGGGTCGATGGGTCGGGATTAGGGAGAGGGAATATGTCGTGGCGCGTCTATTCATTGAAGCGACCGTCTTGTCCATGGAATTCACAACGATCACCACCCATTTCCTCGGTTCGTTTCCAAATACCAAGTCCCGGCAGCCTGCAATGGGCGAACAGCTGTGAACAAAAGCAAAGCCGAATGCCACAAGTGAGGCTTTAGTGCTTCTCAGCTGCGCTCCTATCCTTGTTTTGGTCCAATGGTCAAACATTTAGCTTGTACGGTTTCAATCCGGAGCAAAACATCCATTGTTTCCTTTCAACTCCGTCTCGCTAGAGAAGAGGTACTTCCGTCCTTAACAATTTCGTCTTCTCTCAGACCTCAATCCTCGCCCCTCGCCCAATAATGGCCCACCCCACCACTTTGGTGCCGACCTTCTCCACCTGCTTCTGTGGCTGACGTGTCGGAGGCGATGGTGTCGAGATCTGGATGTCAGGGATCATCCATCGGTTCCAGCCGGGGATCAGCATCCTACTTTCACATCAGTGTCTCGTAGAAATGCCATCACTCTTCGTCATTGTTCATGGAGCTTGGGACAACTGCACAACGATGCGTACCATGGTGCTGTGGCTTTGTGGGTTTCCAAGCCAAGCCCTTTTTTTTCTGGTTTTTTTTGTTCTTTCCAGAATGCCATGGTTTGTCAGCATGGCATTTCGACGTCCTGGCATCAATGTTACCACCTTTAACGTCATTGCATCTGGATTCCGAGTTTTCTCCCACAATATACCTAAGGTTTTCAAGTTTTTTTTCACCCCGCTTACATAGACAGTCAACAGCTTCATTCATCCATTTCGCCTAGCCGATACAACTGTCCAAGCAATTACTGTGAGATCGTCCGGCAGCCACCGGGCCCTTGCCGTGATCCATGAGATCTGTAGATATAAGATCGATGCAAGGAATAGTGTTTCCCCATTAAAATCTACACGCACCATCATCGTAAAGTTATGGCGAGTCGTTAAATCCTCAACCTATTTTCTCTTACCTACCACAGGGCTACTCAGTGAGCCCCAACAAAAGACCTTTTCCGAATGTTCGGATGCGTTCGGTCATATTAACAGTCCGTCTTGGGACAACCCAGACTAAACTAGGCAACATCTGGACGACCGTGCCGCCAGATTGAGCGATCAAAACTAGAACACCCATAGTCAAATCATCATGGGCGAATTCATCGCGATACATCATGAAGATGTCGATGTCTGTCATGTAAAACGGTCATGATCTCCAGCAAAATTGAACATGTCGGCGACTCTAGAAGCGTGGTGTAGAAGCTTTAGCATGTGCTCTCAAGGATGATAGGGTGATCCCAACCGCATCTAGCTCGATCTGGCCCTGCACTGCCAAGTCGCTCTGCCACTTGAACTTGCGACAGCATGACCGATATTGCATGAGTATGCGCGGATCGACGCTAACAATGAACTTCAATCTTACTAGGCATGACCAAGACGTGACACAGCGCATTCATACACACTGCGCTGTGGCACCGTTTTCTTCTCACGCAATTCCAACAAAATTTCCTTTTTGGTGCCAATCTCACACGATGCGACATAGTAAGGCCATATCACCATGGTCGATGAATCACGAGAGTCCCATCGCCTAATCAAAACAGCCGGGAGAAGACAGGACACCAGACTGCTAGCGTGAACAACGCCTCTCAATAAGCCAAGTTCGGTCAATGCTAGGTGGCATGTAGACAGGTTTTATCTGTGTCTCTCACAGATTCACTCATGTCCCCAACAGGATCTGAAGACAAAGGTGACCCGAAATTAACGCCAGACCCTGAAGTTCTCACTTCAGCCTATGAGCTTAGATAGAACTTCCCCGTTACCGGTTAAAGCCGCCTAATTGGTCGCATAGTCCTGGCATCTAGACCTGGCTGTTGACGGTCGAAGCTCGAGAGTATATTCACTAGTCAGACGTTGATGCATGCAGTTATGAGTGTTATATCCTTGATAACATACAACCCATGTAGACCCTTTAGAATGTAATCAAGACAATGCCCCATTATGTAACCTTATGGTTCCGCTGGTTTTCAAAGCGTGGTGAATGTGGCTAGCCTGGAAAGCCACAATACAGCATCTGAGAACTTCGGGCGTTTACAACGGCAAGACCATTGATCATCTAGGCTTCCTGCTTCTGATTCAACTTCCGCGCTGCCAAATCCTCCGTCGTTGCGGTTTGTCCCGAACTACTTTGGATTAGTATTCTTGCCTCTGTATCTTGGCACCCTTTGCGAGTCCTGTTCTAGAAAAGACTATGCGCTAGCGGCTACGTGGTGGAGTCTGACTAGGTTAGATGTATTTTGTGCGATGATATATCCTCTCGTCTAATCACCGATACGATATACCCCCTATTCACCCTCGCCCCTAAACGCCTCCTGACATGTCTAGAAAGGACGAGAAGAAGATAGCGTATTACCTGCATGTGAAAACGAAGAATAATAAATCTACTTTGTATGGTTTCCACCACTCTGGGAGTATGCCATGTTCAGTCTAAGTACAGTAGCGGACGTGGACTGATCTCAAGTATCCGACTCGTAGTTCCTCACCAGTAGAAACACAGTGTGTTCTATATATACCATAATAAAGTAGATCTTTCAAGGTAATACTACGACTAGTATTATAATATGGAAACGCATCATCTTCGATTATGCGCTCTCCACGATTATTAGTAGTTTATATTTACCGATGGATGAACCTTGAAATTTAACCTGAATTTCTATCGGACTTAATGCAAACTACTAAAAGGTGTAGGATTGAATCTGTGCCCCTGATCTCCCCAAGTTCAAAGGAGTGGAAGTGGTAAGGGCCTGGAGTACAGCAAAGTGAGCACAGTAAAGTGAGCTCTTGGCTGCTTACACCAGAGCAAGTTAAGAGACCCTAAATCAGCCTTCTAGCACCAAAGAGCACGAATGAGCTTGAAAAGGGGCTGGTGCGGACCGAAAATTTCTTATGCCATCTTTGCTCAATGTCGGTTACTGATGAATGTTGAAATTCACATTTGAGAGCACATGCGTCGATGAAGCACCTGGACCGGGTTTCATCTGATATTTGCATACATAAATGCATATTATGTTTATATAATCGTGGTGTTATATCAGCCAACACATAGGCATTCCTTTGTTTAACGGGTGGGTCGTCTACAAGCTTCTGCTCGTATGCTCTTCAACCTCGAGGCCGAAAATGTCCTGGATTATGGCATCATTGTGTTATTCATGGAATTAAAGGCTGCCAAAGTGTGGGCAACAATGGAACCTGAGAATTAACAGGTAAGAGTTGAAAACATACAATAGAAAAGCAGTATGAGTGCATCTCCCTCTTACACCTCTTCCATCCTCTCTCCCATCCCCGCCTCCGCGAGCTTCGAACCTACCATCCCCAACCATTTTCGGGAGAATTTTCCAAGCGCCCAAAAACTACTGGTACTTATGTCATTCCCAGCAGATCCTCAGTAAGCCGCAGCTTCAATACAGCCTGCGATGACGTAAGGTGGCTGTAGGGGAGGGATACCATTGAGAGGGTAGGTTAGGGGCCAGTATTCCCTCAATTTGTACTTAAGTTTCAGTTAAATTATTCAGTGAATTTATTCATCTACTGTTAGTATCCCTTCAATCTGGGCTATTAAACCACCAAGTCAAAATGAACGATACGTGTCATGGATGCAACTCTTGTTATTTTTCATCATTGTCATGCCACTCAACCAGTTCTGAGTACGACCAATCAGTGAAAAAGCACTTAATCGATCGTGAGCGATTACCGTAACTTACATTGAATTTAATTTACTGTGTACGTGAAAGGCATATATGCCGTGTTAAGCTGTAACCCGAATTCAGGCTATAATCACCTGGATAGTACCTGCATCCTGTCGCGGAACGGACTCCTGAACAGCCCTAAAGTCAAGCGACAAATATGCGCCAAGCATCCTGTCGGGGGAAAGAGTGAGATTTACAGTTGCGCAAGTATTTCTTCTCTCGGATCGTTGTTTCGTTGAAGCTGTCCACAACTTGAGCCAAGAAAATGTCGCTGGGCGCGGCCAAGGAGATCTCAAAGGTCAACACCGCAGACTTGGGCCTTGGTCCCGTCAGACTCACCGATGGCCTTACTTATGAGACAGAAAACAAAAATACTGTGCTACAAACCCAAGAATCCCAGGTCTGGCCAGCACCCCAAACCAAGCTAAAATGGGACCGCGAATACGACCGTTGGCGCAAACCCCTCGGCTCAAAATGGCGCCTGCCCGTCTTCGCCACCGCCCTCGGATACCGCGAATACTACGACCCGATGATGCGATCCATCTGGGCGAAAATCCCCACTGCTCAACCGGCCGTCACTCAAACCGTCCACACAGCCACGTCCTACGACGGGGCTGAGATCCAGATCATCCGCTTCACTACCTCAGCTCATTTGCAGAAAAGAAAAAGCAGCAGAAGAAGTGAGGATGTCGGCGAGGAGGATTCAAAGGAGAAGAAGAAGTTGTCACCAGCTTGGCTCTACTTCCATGGTGGCGCCATGATAGCGGGCGAAGTGATACCCGCTCAAGTGTCCAAATTAGTCGCCGACTCGGGCGTGCAGGCTTTTGGGGTCGTGTACCGGATGCCCCCTGAAGACCCGGCGCCGACGCCGGTGGAGGACTGCTATGCCGCGTTGAAGTGGGTTCACTCGCATGCTTTGGATCTGGGCATTGATCCAGCACGTCTGGGTCTAATGGGAGACAGTGCTGGGGGCGGCCTTGCGACAGGAACGGCACTAATGGCGCGAGATAGGGGGCTGGATCCACCGGTGGCGAGGCAGCTGTTGATTTACCCCATGTTGGATGATAGAACTATTATGAACATGAGTCCTGACGGTCCGTTGGCGGGGTTTGCGTCGTTGCCGTTGGAGGATATTGTGTTAGGATGGGAGGCATACTTGGGCAAAGAGAATGCCGGGAAGGCGAGGGCCGAGGTTACTGCGTATGCGGCACCGGGCAGAGCAAAGGATTTGAGGGGGATGCCGGCTACGTATATGGATGTGGGGAACTTGGATTTGTTTCGGGATGAGTGCAGCTTGTTCGCCGCGAGACTGGCTGCTGCTGATGTGGACGTCGAGTTCCACATGTTTAGCGGGGTTCCGCATGGGTTCGAGAGTGCGTGGAGTATTGCTATTACGGCGAGGGCGCTGGCGGGGAGGATGAGTTTTATGACGAGTTTGTAGTATGATGTAGTGGCAGGTTCTGGGGGCTGGACCTGGAACAGGATGGTTATGTTTCCCGCTGGGAGCTGCGTTGAGAATGTCTACTGTCGTCTACCTTGATCCTCATGTGGCCCCAGGCTTTATATATCCCCAGCTAGACGGTCCGTCCGAGACAGTATTTGGTAGCGGAAGCACGCCTAGCATATTGGCGCAATACAGACATGTTTGTTCATTCCCAAACTCACAACCAGGGTGCGTTTGATGGTCCAGCACGAGATTATTGTGCCTGTGCTGCTCAGCAGCAGCGAGTAGCAAACAAATTCGGGGGAAACGCCTTACTAAATCCATATCCCGTCCAACTTCTCAGTGGCCCTTCTTTCTTAAACTTGCTCGAACTTCAGAACGAAACAGCCGACCAGCGAGCATATCGAAACGCAAACTCACTAGCCCACAAAATCCTTCGCGAAAGATATGAGGAAGATGTTGTCCACCGCAGCCATTGCCGTGCGGCTGTTCCAGGTTCGTTTACCCATCAAATCGCATGAGTCAAATTGACAATTGCATTATAGCTGCTGTTAGCCGTCGTGGTCCTTGGGCTTTGGGTCACGCTGACCAAGGCCCAAATTAATGCCCGATGCCCCCCGAGACAGGCGTTAGCGGCTTTGTGGACCGAGTCCATCCAGAGTTTTGTTGTTCTGACTGCCGATGGAGTTTCGGCCGTATTATATCTCGTCGGAGACATCGTAAGGGAAGACTGCACCTCTAATTGCAGGCTTAGCTCTGCCCATCGTGGCATATCAACACGATACCATAGGTACTCCCCCATGTCATGAAGAGTGTATCAAGCTGCGTCGCTACCGACGATAAAGCCAAACCAGACCGGCTTGGTAAGAAAATTATCAACATCGGATGCTGGGATGGAGACTTCAACCATCAGACGCCCCAAAATTGTGCTGCCATCCCGATGGATCTACTCCGTCCTGCATGTCAACGCACACAAGCCAACTACGTATTCGGGTTCTCGGGCTTCATTTTCGCGGTTGGCATGTTCTTCCTGAGACACATGCTGTCCCATCGCGGAAGAACCGCACGAACGACCCAGGGCTGAGAGGTGGGTTTCATGGGGCCGCTGTTGTCAGCTGGTGATGAGTCTGCAAAGTCCCTCCACCCGACGAAGTTGGAATTTGCTGGTTGACAATGAGTTTGATCCTTCGTGCCGTTGGGCTACCACTGTCAAACTTGTGAGTGCAAAACATTGGAATGAGGGTAAATCAGCAAGTAACGCTCGTACGGCAGGACCCAGATGTTGAATGTTGAATTGTGTCTCCCCTGCTCGAGATCACATGTGTATTTCGATGAAGATGGGATACAAGCTAAACTGTATTGAGCCATAGGTCACAATAGTGGTTTCTGCAAGTGGTTCATGTCATATAGGTTTCTCTGATTCGCCATCTTGAGCGACTCAAATAAACACGTTTCGAGAAGCTGACGACTGTGGCTTTCAGGATCAGCAAATCCCACTGTGCGACAAACTGTTTGTCTTTCCTACATCCCATTTGAGTGGATGGAACTTTGGGACAACTTGGGTTGTAGGCTACTGCTGCTGCCTACTGCTGCTGCCTACTCTACTCCACTCTAAATTCCTCGACAGAAAATTTATAGAAGACACTGCATCAATCCCTCCATCATCCAGTTCTAAGAAGCTTCTCTCAATCCAGCTGCAGTACAGAGCAAACCATCCTTCAGTTCACCTCGAATGTCACCCATCAAAATGAACCACATCCAATCCTTCCACCTCCCCCGCACCTCCCAAACCCTCTCCCCCCTCTTCACCAAACTCCCCGGCGAACTTCGCGACAGCATCTACACTTACGTCCTCGCCTCGTACCCGGACCCATCCCGGTCTTACGACAAAAACACGCCCTACTACCGGCCCGACTACCTCTCCCCTGGCATCCGCGACTGCGCCCTCCTTCAGACCTGCCAATCCATCTACGCCGAGTCCTGGTTCCGCCCCTGGGTCTCCAGCACACACACCTTCTGGCTTGCCTGGAGCGTGAGGCGCCCGTCGCACGTCCTGACCGTCCGCGAGTTCCAGCCTGTGCTGCATGAGATTTACGAGAAACATGGCGATGTTTTCTTGACACATGTACGCGTTTTTGCACAGTTGTGCGAGATGCGGGGTTTGCCGTCTATTTTGGAGATGGAGCATTTCCTTCCACGGACGATGACGATGACGATTCGACATCACGACTGGTGGCATTGGGAGACGGACCAGCGCCTGTACCTTGATGCTGATGTGTGCACGCGGCATTACTTGCCAGGTCGTGGGGCCGATGGGTACGGTGGGAGGGGCCAGCTGGTGTATCCTGATTCGCTTGCCGAGATCAGGTTGGAGCTTGAGAGTCTGGTGCGGAAAAAGGAGCAGATTGATTACGTTGCCAACGAGATGGCGGCAAAGTGGTGGTTTCGTCTACGCGACGGGACGGTGATGATGGCGCATGCCAAGGATTTCGAGGTAGATGGCTGGAAGGGTAGTTCAACATGGGAGAATGACCGGTGGATACGGGACGAGACGGAGCCCGAGACGTTGGAGTATTACATCAAGACCGTGGTGTTCAAGCCGAACCACGCGTTGTGCGCGGCGGATGACTTGGAAGAGCCGAGGAAAATACAAGTGCCGGGGAGGTTTATGCAGATAGCCAATGATGAGTTCAAGACGCTTGGCGTGAGGCAGTTGCGCCGGGCTGGAGTGCCGCCGGGTACACCCGCTACGGAGGCGAGAAGGCTGGTCCAGGAGTGGCAAAACAGTAGAGGGCGCTTTAGTGGAGGTCTATCGTACACTGTGAATACCTACGCAAACGACAACGACGACGACGACGACGATGATGAGGAGGGTGATTAGAGGACGAAGACCTCGCAGACAGCTGGGATAATGACGCAGATAATGGATCGGTTGATCCGGTCGTCTGAGCTTTTGGACAGCGGGTGGCGTATTGATCTCGATACCTAGATTGGCAGTCATATTGAAGTCTGATCTGTATGTTCATGTATACAGGATTAGTTAAATAATAAAAACGGCACTGAGGTCGAGCATTAGCATCTTGGTGTCTGTTACAACCCAGCAAATAGGGGTAGTCGAAAGATCATGCTTGAACCCTAGGATCGCCAGGGGAGTAGGCAATGAGCGCAAATGCCAGACTGTGCTTCTTTTTGCTGTTCTGCTCTGCTTGTAGAGCCTCCCTTCATCTCTTCATATTGGGGGACCTCAATGCCCGTGCCAACATCGTGCCTCAAACAACGTGAAGCAGCATTACACAGTAATAACGAGCAGTAGGTTCATTCATGCAAGATAGGCATTCCTATGGCTTATACAGTATGATGGTATATGTACATTGAGCGTCTTGCCTGCCCTGAGCCTTCTGCTGGTCCAGTCCGCCGTCTTTCATAAAAGACTCGCATCGTGCTAAATTCCATTCCTAGCCCTTTGATATCCCCCCTCTTTGCTCCAAAACCTCGCAAGGACCAATGTCGATATATGCAACCGTGCCAACTAGTTCGCGGTCTTTTCAGAGTAGTAGTTGAGTCTAAACCCCACCTTGGGGTGTGACGGAAAGAACGTGGCCAATGTCGTTTCCACGCGAATGACTATAACCTGAATGATGCTGTTGGAACGCTTGACGCCGCAAAGTCGCTTCAACGAACGCCAGGCGCGGCAAATGTAGATCGGAAAATGGTTGTGGCCAGTGATGCACCCCCCGTCGTGCTGTGTCTCGAGTGTGGGATCCATGTGTAGATCCAGGGATTTCTTTTTGCAAACCCAACTGTAACGCGAGTCTCTAGTCATCCATGTTCAGTGCCGAGAATCAACGTCAAAAACGCCAACCAGCGCAGCCCTCCAGATGGGGTATAAGTTAGAAAGCCAGCGCAGAGCAAAAAAATGAAGGAAATGGAAAAGAAAAAATTATTCCGCCCGCCATTATGATGCGAAATAAGCCGCATCAAAGACTAGGGATGTCGACGGCTAGACGTTGCGGCGGGCTGCGGTAGAGTCACGGCGAGTCTGATATGTCCATCGACACGCTACGCAGAGATGCGTTGTCCTCGTCCACATCCATAGGTCCAGGTACTTCTGCCGACTGCCTGTCTCTGGGCACGACGCCTACCGAAGAGCGACAGTTTCTTCTCTAGCGCTCCATGCTCTCGGGGCTCATCATCCCTACGTCGTCCTTGTATTCTGGCTGACTATTACTCTCCATACGCGACATATCCGGTGCCACGGGTAGAGCGGCTCCCGCAGCGTTCGTAGCGGCAACAGCCCCCTTCTGGAGTTTCTTTGAGCCTTTCTCTGGACTCGCGTTTGGATCGGCCTTTGCCGCAGCCGCTGCTGCAGCGGCTGCCGCCTCAGCCTTCTTCTTCCTCTTGTTGATGGCATTCTGCTCCTTGGGTGGTCGCTTCTGGGGCGAGTTGATCTTCCCAGAAGCTTGGAGACGAGGCCGAGGCCGCCTTTGCTTGATAGGCAAGTCTTCATCTTCCACCAAGGGTGAATCGCCATTAGCGTGTAACTTGGCGAGGAAGAAGTTCTTGACGAGACCAATCTCATCTTGGATGTTCTCCTTCGTGACAGGTTCCAAAGGAGGTAGATCTTCAAACAAGTGGACATCAACTGGACCGGCCACCTGAGCCTGGCTCTGATACTGATTGCGGACTCGAGTTTGAAGAAGGTGTAGGGGAACGGACAGCATGCCGCCCATTTCTCCCGCAAGACCCAGCTCGCGGAAGCCAAAGAAATCTTCTCCAAGTTCTTCTGCAAAATCGCCTCCCACGAATTGATCGCTGCCATCATTGAAGTTAGCGGCACCGCCATCGCCCCCAGCATCATTCAGCGCAGGTCGGAGAAGATCGCTTAGATGAGTCTTCATGCGCTCGTGGATCACCCCCAGTTTGTGGCCCAGCCGATCGACCTCGTCCTTGGCGTAGCTTTCCAGGTCCTCGACCTTGTAACCGTTCTCGTAAAGCGTGTGTAGGAGGACTTCCTCGTCAGTATACCGGGGTTGGACACGAGCGCCCCGTCGTGCAAAGCTAACGGTCGGGTCTTTCCTATCCGTTTCGTTGTAGGTCTTGAATGTACAGACGAGCTTCTCAAAGTAGTCGGCAGCGATGTCCGTGATGGTGTCGAGTGCTGATGGCTGCATCTCCTCAAAGCCGGCGTGGTAGAAGAGCTTCGCGACTGACCTCTTCATTGTGGCCCTACAGACCTCGGGTGCCATGACGAGACCATCACCACAAGTGACGTGCGGCTGGATATCCTGTTCCATAAACGGCTCAGGGTTGTATTTGGGAAATTGATTGGTATACACCTAATAATGTCAGAATTGGCGGGTGGGCATCGCAACGCGAGTATCTTACCTGAGTCTGGATCTGCATCTGTTTGATGACGCCGATCTTGGAGCAGAGCTTCCTCGTCTCTTGCAGCTGGCGAATGTTTGCATCGAACCTCTCAGCTAGGTGACCTTTTGGAGCCGTGAAATACCCAGCCGGAACAGCTCGCAGAAATTCTTCGTGCTGATTGATGACTTGACCCTCATTGTCTTCAATCCATTGAAGTTTTAGGGGGATGTCCGGGATCAACGATTGTGCATCGTAGTACTCCGGGACCACTCGTTCTGAATCATCTTCCATACCCTCCGCCAATGTCTCCGCCGCCTTCGAGGATTCCTTGGCGGCTGTAGCGGATGAATCGGCGAAGATGGGGCTAATGGCACCCATAGCTTCTGCTTGTTCTCTGCCATGGAGAAATCGACGCATGCCAACTTTGGAACGCAGCAGGGCGGGCTCATCAATATTCAACTTTCTGCCGTTGAAGAGTTGATATCGTTCTTTGGCGATCTGGGCACGGTCTTTCTTGGTGATCTGTTTATAGATCTTGTACTCCTCATCTTCGAATACCTGTTCTTGGGCCTCGTTGAGAGCCTGGTTGAGAGCCATGCCGTTAAGAGAAGGGCCGTCGATGTCCATGGCGTCTATGTTGCTGCCGATACCAGAATGCCCGTTCATGCCGCTTGGGGTACCAGACCCGCCTACGGGAGGTGTCGCAAAGCCATTGCTCCCATCAACCTCGGAGCCCTCTCGTTGGAGCTTCAACAGACCGTTCACGGCGAGCAAAGGCTTCTGTTCCATACTGGGCGTGCCTTCTTTCTGATCCGTGGGCGCCTTCCGTGACTTGGTGCCTTTGGCCCCACCGGCAATGCGGCCGCGCGACGACATGATCGGCTCATCGTCAGAGTCATCTCCGCCATCGTCATCGCCCCCGTTCTGTTTGCGGCGCTCTTCAGCCTCAACTTCGGCACGAGGTCGGATGACAAGATCGGGGATCAGAGGAATCAACTTTTCCGCCTCTTTGCGCATGCCATTGGCCATACGCCGAAGTGGGTGATTCATATCCTGGTTGTATCGCAGGCAGTTGTCCCAGATCAGATTAAGGTCCGTTACAAAGTCCGCCTTCGACTTGTATGTCAGTGACTTGAGCTTCTTGGTCATGCTCCCCAAGTCCATGGGTTTGGTTATCACTAGAGGCTGTTAATCCGATGTCCTCTAGTCATTCACTTGCGGCGGATATGACTCACGGTTGTAATAGTCAGGGGCATCTCTCTTGTTCACCCTCTGAAGGAACGGTGTCGAATATTCCGTGTGTGCCTTCAACTCGTTCAGAACCTTCTCCAAAGCCTCGTACAGTTCCTCCTGGTTCACATTCTCTTCATTCGCCCACTTGCTGCGGTTTTTCCTGACCTCATTCATAAGCGAACGTAGCTCAGCATCTGACGCGCGAACCATATCACGCTTCATGTCTATACGCGCGATGAGATGCTTTAACGTCAGACTTGACGCGCCAAGGTTCGCGTTACTGAGGGAGCCATGGTTTTCGCCAGCCACGCCAGCGCCGGAGTTGTTGGTGTTGTTCTTATCCATCTCTGCCTGAAGCTGTTTTTCCGACTCTTCCAGCTGTTGTTGTTCCAGCATGGCCGTCCGATCGTTCTCCAGCGTGTAGAACAAGGTGTGGAAGCTACGCTTGGCAGCATCCTCAGTGGCGGTCCGCGCCTCTTCCAATTGCTTGCGCGCATCTTCAGACGTCTTCGCGTGGGGTTGCGATCCTTGTGATTCTTGCGAGGAGTCGTCCTTGACTCTGTCTAAAAGTCTCCCAGGGGAAGGCACAGAATGTACCGGAGAGCTACCGGATTTGGAGGGGGAAAGGAGGGCGCCGGCGCCTTGGGCGCTTTTCGACTTCAGCGGCGAGATATCGACCGCATCGCGATCTTCGTATTCGTCGTCATCGTCACCGTAGTCGTCTTCGTCGATAACGCGCTTGGCTCTCTTGGATGGTCGTTCTTCGATGGGGTCATGGTCGGTAGTCGGGGGTAAGAGGGGGGTGGAGAGGGCGATTGGTCGCCGCAGCGACTCTATGCCGGCATAATCATATGAACCATCTTCGGCGAACAGATGCGCGATCTTGGATTCGGTTTTTTGATAAAGATCGCGAAGAAAAGCGCGTTGTCGGTCTTCAGCAGCATCGATATCAGGTGGTGCCTCAGGCATCAACGGCTGGGAGTGGTCTGCCGGAGTCTGGGTGCGCTGAGGACCGTCTTCGGCGCGGTGGAAGCTCCTACTGTCATTGACTTGATGGGCAGACGATGGAGGCCAATGTTGATGACCGTTCATGATGGACATGATGACCTCGGAGGTGTTATGCTGATGGACAGATGGCGGCCGCCATGCGCATGTCATTCGCGTGTCGGCGTTCCGTCCACAGGGCGTTTCCGCGCCTAAATTGATACTAAAAGAACGAGCGACATCGACATAGATGGCAGACGAATTTTGGAAGCAAGATCGATAGGAATGGGGGTGCCTCGATGGGTTTTGTCCAAGGCGATTCTGGCCCAGTATTGTAGTGAGGTCAAATGCGACGACGAGCGAACTCCATCCAAGTCTGGGTCAGCTTTGCCCACTGCGGCTAATGCCTTCCGAGGTACTTGAGAGAGCCAAAATCTAAGTGAGACAACTATACGACACAGACTTTTGGGCTTACTAAAATTGGATTGAAGAATGCTATCAATGACTGGAACATCATGTAAATTTGCATCAAGTTATTACCATGTTTATGGGTATTGCATGTGTGCTGTTAGTTCTGTCGTGAGGTATCTCCTTGAATGGTCTTTCGCCGGTTGCGGTGATCACGTGCAAACTTAATTCTTACTTTAAAGCCTGGATGAAAAGGCTCTTTGGCTACCACATCCGTATTCCTTGATTAGATGTAGTAATATACGAGGAATAGATGTGGCAGAACGAATTAAAGTCAGAATAGTTTCTCGCCACCTCCTAATCATGGCGGTAGAGGAGGCGGGACGAATAAACGGTCTCGACAAGTATGCCACCTGTGACGTAGATTTCGATTGTTCCAACTTTCAGTGCTTACAGTTCTCTAAATCACGATTATTTTCGAGCCACATGTGACATCGGGTTAAATTGGTGGTGAATAGGCCATTGCGTATGCCATCTTTATATCGGAACAACTTCAAGGCTGCAGAATTCTTCGCACAGTAACTTCTGATTTAAAGGGACTTCGATGTTCAAGTGAGATCTATTAAGCCAGCATACATATTTGGAAAGTCGTCCGCATGAACCAATTCTCCATGGTGGGAATAGCGTGGTCGGCGTCGGGGTTTAGGACCCATGGTCCCCAACCCCAGCCACATGGAAGGCGGGCCCTCGCATCAAAATAAGTGGAGCTGTCGCTTCTCAAGATCTAACCCAACAAACGAATATTGCCTGGACAAACACGATACCTTACAGCCCAGTTGCAGGCTACAGAATTACACATGGTTCTGTAATGATGCACCTCCTCAAATTTCACCGGTCGTAATTCTTTTTGTTCGACTCCACAGCTCAGCAAACATGCGCATTCGATTGCCTTTCGCAGGTGAGTGCAAGACCAAGCTTCCCGAGATGTTTCGTTTGCCGCTTAGCTACCTCAGCTGGAGTCTAGCTCTCAGATCTCGAAAGCTCCCCGTCCTTGTCTTCACAGCTTCTCACAGTTGAGACTACATATGCTCGTTGCAGCTTCGCAAACTAGGATTCGCAAGCTAATATGACTACTCAGGCGTCTTCTTCCTGCTCTGCCTCCTCGCAGGCTACGCTGGCCTGTCAACCCTCCAACTCGGCGAATACGTCAACGACAAAGTCCTACACCTCTTCACCTTCTTCCTTCTCACCGTTGTCTTCTACTGGATCGTAGACACAAACCGCCGGCGCACGCTGAACTTATCTCTCGTCGTATGCACACTAGTCCTCGGCGTCGGTTCCGAGTTCCTACAGGGCTTCCTGCCCAACGGCCGCGAGTTCGACCTATATGATATCGTGGCCAATGTCGTCGGGAGCCTAGGCGGGCTAGGCTTGTGTTCGTGGTACCATAAGCGCATGCTGGAGCGCAAACGAGGACGAAAGTATGATGCGGTGCCGGGCGAGGACGAGGAAGACTTGGAGTTGGGAGAAGGCTCGGGTGGTCAAGAGGAAGGCATAATGTCAGCCGCCGGTAACGAGAGAAGCACAACGCTGGAGCAGGAGTTGGATAACTGGGATGAGAATGCCGTCGACGCATGGGACGAGGCGGAAGACGGTGATGGTGACATCGGTTCGGCCCTGCCGGGACATCATGGTGGAGATGCTGAGTCGAAGAAACGAGCAGACTAGATGTTCAAGATCGATGGACAAGGGTGAAGATTTATGATCACATTCTCTACTTTCATTCCCCGGCGTACGGGAGGTCGTGCGAACTCATGATTGCTGGAGTTGGGCTGTTATTATGTGTATGTGTATGAGTTAAAGATGAGCATTACGAGATCAAGTATTTGAAGGGCGTGGTGAGCCGCATTGCGTACCGCGCGAAGGAGCGGCCCAGAACAGATACTACCTAGGAAGCATAGGACTATGAGTGTTGCGTTTCGGGCAACCACGTTCAGGTACTCAGGGACTATCCGAGACAGTGCGAAAGCCGCCCTAGCTCGACCTTCCTGGATGCCTCACGTTGCAGATATGGAGAGACTCGAGCTGGTCCTACAATGATCAACAAACCCAAGTAGCAATGCTAGCACTGAAAACTCGTACCACAAACTAACCCTAGCTCAATTGATTTGAAGGATGCTCTCTGTTCGTTCACACCTCGGCAAAGGCTCGGGATATCTATTGACGTTGCATTTCAGACGGAAAGTGTCTCCAAAAGAACACAGGAATATTCGGTGAGTGAAGAATTTTCGTTATACATTTCTCCTTCTCTTGAATTAGATATTAAGGATCAAATTTTGAAATTGACCACTAGACGAGATGGGGTCAGCATACGCTCCTTCGAATGTACAGAATGGCAATTCTCTTACAACCTTGAACCGTGCGGATGAGCTTGACGATGTAACTGTCAACCCTGTATCACACATGGTTAACCTTTCTACATGAACTCACGAACTGCAGCTTATCGATGCGGTCAAGTCTCTCATTGTCCCGTTCATTAGGGCAGCGGACGACGCAGCACCTGGCAAGATATGCGGTCAACTAACCACGGATAACAAAGGGAATTGGCGCAATGTACTTGTGGAGTCCCATAACCCCGCGGCATTGATAAAGCGCTTGAGATTCTCACTGCCGGAGGGAGAGGGTAAAGGCAAAGATGGACTGTTGGAAACGATCCAAGGGATCCTTCAGTATAGCGTCAACACCTGGGATCAGGGTTTTCTGGATAAGTTATACGCTAGCACGAACGCTGTAGGTCTTCACCCAAATCACTGGTCGAAATTGTAACTGACAAGATTAGGTTGGAGTAATATCAGAACTGCTACTCTCTGTCTTGAACACGAATGCAAGCCTGCCCACTCCTCTTTCGCCATTGAGCTAACATGCCGTAGGTCCACGTCTACCAAGTTTCGCCGGCTCTGACGATTATAGAAAAAATAACTTCAAAACAAATCGCTTCCCTCTTTGGATTCACCGGTCCTCGCGCCGGAGGCGTGACATGCCAGGGCGGCAGCTCGTCGAATCTGACATCGATCGTGGTCGCGCGGAACACTTTATTCCCTACTACTAAGTCTGACGGCAATGGCAACCACCAGTTTGTCCTCTTCACCAGCGTGCATGGCCATTACTCGGTTGAAAAGGCTGCGGTTACCTGTGGGATGGGAGCAAGTTGCGTGGCATCCATCCCCGTCGACAATGTAGGCCGCATGATCCCTTCTTCGTTGAGAGAAGCGATCATCAAGGCGAAGGAACAAGGCAAAACGCCTATGTACGTCAACGTGACGGCTGGAACGACCGTCCTGGGCTCCTACGACCCATTCCGGCAAATCAGCAAGATTTGCAAGGAGTTTAACCTGTGGATGCATATTGACGCATCGTGGGGCGGGTCGGCCGTCTTCTCATCAAGCCAGAAGCACAGACTAGACGGCAGCGAGCTGGCCGATTCCCTGACCGTGAACCCGCACAAGATGTTGAACGTCCCCATGACTTGCTCGTTTTTGCTCACCAACGACATTGGCATCTTCCACAAGGCGAACACGTTACCGGCCGGATATTTGTTCCACTCAGTAGATGAGAGCGAGGAAGTCTGGGATCTGGCTGATTTGACACTGCAATGTGGACGACGGGGCGACAGTCTCAAGCTTGCGCTGTCGTGGATTTACTATGGCGCGGCTGGGTTTGAGCAGCAGATCGATAACGCTTTTACTATGGCTGCGCATCTGGCAGACCACGTTGCAAAATCGCCTGACTTTGAGCTGGTGTCGACAAATCCGCCTCCCTGTCTGCAGGTATGCTTTTACTACGCACCTGGAGGTCGCGTGGCGGAGACGAAGGAGGAGAACACTAGACGGACCAGGGAAATGGTGGGGAAGTTAATTGCGAGAGGGTTCATGATTGATTACGCTCCTGGGGATAGGGGTAGCTTCTTTAGGGTCGTGATTAACTGTCAAACCCTGCAGGGGACACTGGACGGGCTATTGAAGGCATTGGGAGAGGTGGGGAAAGAGCTCTGAGCGACAATTCCTGTAAATTCAAGCGGTCATCAGCCCAGTAGACGGGCGTTCCGAAGAGATAGGATGAGTAACAATGTGTTACATTACAGAGACTGCGGACAGCACTTCTAACCAACACGCCTAGTGAGCTCTACCTGGAATGCGATGCATTTAATACCACCAAATTAAGTCGAATAGCCATTTGGCCGCTAAATGTTGATGACTATAACACAAAGTTGGATATCACCAGGGAAATAAACCAAAATGAGTGCAGAGTCAACATGTTGGAACAGAATAAAATGGATTAAAAGGTCGACCAACATATATATTTTCATCTACGGATAATATGAAAAAGTATTTTACTCCTCCATGAGGAGTGCACTGGGAATTGAGCCCAATGCGGGGGTCGAACCCGCAGCCTTGAGATTAAGAGTCTCACGCTCTACCGATTGAGCTAACCGGGCGGCTTCATATAATAAAAACTGCTACAGTCTAGTGTTATATTGTAATGCCAATGTGAAAGTAGAGAAGAGCTTTCTTCCGATGTGGCGGCAATAGGCTTGTACAAGTAAAGGTGCGGTCTACAATGCTTCGGAAGGTCTATATGAGATGTAAATATAATGATGCCTTGCAAAACTGCAGTGTGTCTACGTGGAGATCGAAATAGCGGTACCTTTCACCGAAATATGCAAGTTAGGTCTTGACGATGATGTTGCGATAACGATCAATTGGGGAAGGCGCCATCTCCGTTCTCGCTTTCTACACACACCCAGCGTAAAGGCTGTTAGTGCGGCGCCAGACATTAAGATATATCCAGGATTCTGTGCGCAGTTCCACGCAGGAGCGCAACTGTTGGTCATATCAATTAAGCAGTGGGCTATGGTACACATGTATTTCTGACAATCAATGCAGGGTGCGGTCTCTAGTTTTATGCGACTACCATGGGTTCACGAGTTTGGACTCTAGATGGGTATGACATCATTCAAAACCTACCATTGTAGTTAATCGATATTTTTGATGATAGGACGCTATGGCATGTCTTCCGTCTGATGTTTGAGAATGTTTGGAACCCTTGGGCAGGTCGTCGCAACCAAAAGTCGACGATCGATTGGCACGTGAGAGGATTTGACTTCATCGTAAGACCCGTCGTTACAAACTGATTAACGACCAGATTGATTGAAATTCACCGTGTCTCGGCTCAAATGCGATAACATACACCAGCCCGGTAGATGGACCCTAAACGTTGCGGGAGACCCATTCAGATGTGCTCATGTCGCTTGACTAAGTACATTAACGTTAGCAGCTGCATACAGATGCGGACACGACAGCACAACCTCTGACGTGTGGTCGGACAGGCCCAAAGAATCCGCCGAGTTTTGGTCAACCCTTTTCCACTCTCGTTTCCCTTGTTTTGTCTTCTTCACCTGCCAGCTCTTTTCCGAGTTCTGAGTTCTTACTGGCCATGGTTCCATTGCGAGAAACAGCCGTCAGCATAGCGAACAATTGCTTTGCCCAATGGTCCTCACCGAACCCATGCAAATATGGGGACATGAATGCGTTGTCACTACAATCAAGCGCAAGGCTCTCCTCAAGGCATGCTATTTTCTTGTCACAATGCATGTATTATATACTTGGTAACAGACTTCTTTGGGCACTGTGAACAGTCCTTGGCGCTGAAAGTGCCGACGGTTCTTTGTCAAGTTGGCAGAAGCCGCGTTGCTTCCTCTTAGAGCTGGATACAAGCACTCCGTCCCTTTCCTCTGCATCGCCATATCCATCGCCGTCTCCTATAAGTACGACAGTCGGGCAACGCGAAGGCCAATTTCCTGACACCGCCGCGTTCAGTACGACACCAAATGATGTTCGTCAAAATGATCCTCAAACACCCACTCATGATGTGACTGCTCCGTGGCCAAATAACGTGCAGTCAATTTAATGTGCAAAACGGTCCTCACTATGATAGTCTTTAAGTAGGCAGCACCCACATAAAAAAATTCGCGAGTATTCTTCCTGCCTACCTGTCTCTGAATCGCATACTAAGGCACACTTACATCCTCTTACAACTTGTATGATCTGTCTGCATATTTGACTACACTTTGCAACCTCATCAACTCAACGAAACCCTGTGGAGGTAGGCACACAGCTTCTGGCGCTGGTATCTCTCCCCACACTTAAGTATTGACAGTAGTAGGACTGGGGCGTCCGGCCTGGCTGTTCAAGCCCAGGCTACCGCATAGTTGACTTACCGCGAACTCAAATCAGACAACTACTGATGTCAATGCCTTGGGCACTGGGTTGATGTGAACATGTCACGGTCGAGTCCTTTAAATGGGTCAGCCGATTTTCGGTGCAACATCAATGATCACCTAGTCGACGGCCCGCTTGGCCCTGGTGACCCGCGCCCCTTTGGCGTCAATCTGACCACAGTCAACTTGACCCAGGCACCCTATTGCAGCTGCGGCCAGTTCAATAGGTGTGGTTTTCATCCACAACAGACGGGTCCTGGGGTTGTATTCGACAGCTTCCCTGACACTTCTGCCCCGGCGTATCAAAACAACACCGCCACGACATATTTGAGAGGGCTGCCTGTGGACACAACTATTACCCAAGGCGCCGGGGCCCAATTCGGCAGTACATCTGCAGACTATAGTACCATCCAAGACAACGGGCAGAATTGGCCGGGCTCCATTCCTTACGAAGACCTGGGTGATGATAAACAACCCGACCCCAATATAGGTGGGTGTGACGATCAGTTTTCGCCCGGGAATCCGTCATGCCCAACTGTGCCGGGCATTCGAAACATCCCGTTTCTATCATCCTTGGCCGACTACTACCAGCAAACTAGCTATTCTCATCCACCTACAACCTCAGCCGGCAGTGTGCCTGCCGAGCCTTCACTGAGTGGGCCGGGCTTGAACTCGACGACTTATGCACCAAGTTCTGCATCCGAGTCCGTTTGCGCATATTCATTTTACGAGAACTTTGAGCCTTTCGATGTGCCTGCGCCGCCGCTTGCTCCGCCCGGCAGTCAGTCTTGCCTTGCCCCGCACTCCGAGGGGTCTTCGCCTGAAACACAGCACTACAAGACACCGATTGACTCTCAGGAGCTCTCTTCTAATATCAGTGCGCAGGGCTCCCTTGCCTCGGCGTAAGTGTTTTATCCCAATCTATGATTCTTAGCTTTTGTGATCGACCACTCAAACGGCGAGCAGCTCGGCCATTGTCAAATACACCTGTGACATTTGCGGAACGGTTACAAAGTACCGCGATCGTCACCTTATCGAGACACATCAAAAGCCCCAAAACTGCGAAAACAAACCGCGTTGGTACCGTTGCCGCTGCGGTCATTTCAACTGTGCCTCGCGCAAGTGGGAGTACAAACGGCATCAAAAAAGTTGCAAACTTGTCGGCCGCAAGGATCTCATGCCCACTTATCATTGTCGATGCGGGTTGGAACATCCTGATAAAGAGCAGCACAAAGCGCATTATGAAAATTGTGCGAAGGGCCAGAAAAAACTTGGTCGCCCCCGGCGGAGTTCGGGGCGCCCGAGGACTCGAGGCGATCGACCGCTTTGGCGGGGGATCAGCACCTCGTCCTGACTTCAAAATAACTGATGGATATTTGTCGCTCGTTTGGCATTTTCTTTTGTCACTGCTATACAGGCTTCAGTCGTTACAGTTTACACCGCAATATCACTCCTTCTTGTTTCGTTTGTTGCACTCTACGTTCTCAGATCCCGTTCATCGGTGCCCTGGCCAACTATCTACGATGGAAACATCTCCCATGCCAACGGAAGCTGGCGAAGGAATTTCATGCGGTGAAGACTTGACCATGCACTCGGCAAACTTCGAACTATCTATAGAAGTTACGCAATTTCCTCGCGAATTGTAGTAACTAGTAAGTTAGGAACGACATATCCTTGCCAACCAACAATATAATAACGTGATCCACAAGTCATTTTCGCACACAAGTCACTTTCGCACTTTTCTTGGCACCTTCAAGTAATTCAGTAATATCCTATAACCCGCATTTTATCCTTTAAATTACTCAAAATCTTCTTCATTATCAGTTTCTACTTCTATTGAACAAGTCCTTGCATTATGTCCAGTCCCTCCGCAAATACCACAGCGCCTTATACCGGTCTGCCGGCGCTTTACAGGACGACTGCTTTCCCCTTCTTCCTCCTCCATAACCTTGATATCACCCCTCAAGGCCCGTAAAACTTGTGCATCACCTATACTAAGTGCTCCTCCATCTTGGATTTGCTTATTTTTCGTCCTACGACCCTTACTTAGTATATGGTTCGTCTCACGAAGCTCTTCGTTCTCCCGACGTAATAATGCATTCTCATGCATAATTGCATGCGTAGCCTTCGTAATCGAGTTAATTGAGTTCAAAATATGCGTCGGCGAGCTGTCTTGATGCCTCTGGACGCTACTTTTAATCAAAGTTGACTGCGATTCGGCTTCGAGGGTGACGATGTGCGCAAATCGTGTCCTTGTGGAATCGGGCTTGTGACCCCGCCGGCGAACTAACTACACGGCTGACAAGACTGGAGCTTCGTACTTGCACTTTCTAAACGCCTGTTAGAAACGAGAAGATGTCATTGACTTATGTGGGTTTGAGGTCAATTTCATCGGCGTCTTTGATCCAGATTGAAAGGGCCTCACTTTACGCTCGGTCCGAATGAACGAAGTGTAACAGGAGTTCGTGTCAGCCCAAGCCCCTGATTGGAGGGCATAGAGCAATGCAGCGCCCAACAGTCTGAGGACAATATGGACGAATAGCAACTTCATTTGCTGGATCAGGCAGCAATTGTCCTCAAAGATCCACAAACCTGCATCGCGGATTGGAATGCAAAAACGTCTGTTGGTAGTTTCGGCCCCCAATGCCATGTAACTGCTAAGTCCAATACCTGGCAACTTTCATGGCGCCTGGCCTCATTCTTGATGTATAGATCCGCGAAAATACGCAAGCTCACCGAAAAGCCCGTGGGTCTGTAGGGCTGAGAATGGGGCACTATATCGCCTTGGGAAACGACGGTTGCATATTAGAGTCGAGGGAACACGCACTCTTCACGATGCTTTCCTGTCACTCTCGCGGTCCCAAGCACCATGAAGACGACAAGGACGACGACAAGACCAAAGGCGGTACGTTCATTCCTTCAAGAAACAAACCATGCCTTCCGTTCACCACCGAAACCGCCGTGCCAACTGCCAGAGTCATGTTGCATCGAATATAACCCGCTACCAAGGAGGAACGGACACCAAACCCTATCAGGGCTACCATGACAACTTCAGGATCCAAGAACTGAGACTTAAGAGCGAGTTCCTCGACATATACGCAGTCAAGTGTCTCTGCGGTCGTACCTTCGAGGCGCAGGCGTTCTCGCTGTCGTGTCCCTGCCGAAAACTCCTGGAATCCAGGAAGCGGCGGATGAAGCGCATTTACCGCTCGCAGAACTTCGTCAATGTCTTCGATAGCGAGGGGAAGAGGTTCCTCGTCACCCAGACTGACAGAAGTCCGGCAGAGTGGGAGAATGTGTGTCACCAGATCAAACAGGGTGGGAATGAGTTCGAAAATCGGGATGAAGACGGTTTCTTTGAGGCTACTATAATGCCGCAAGAGGTGAGACTCTCTGAATATTCAATGGGACTGTGGTATGCTCAACTACATGGCTTCCGAGCAGACCTCTACAGATCAACCGACTCCGCCCTCGACACCGAGCTTCAGTTATGCTGATATACTGGCAAGGGGCCTGGAACGTCAGAACGAACACAAAGGATGCTAGAACAAAAGCTAGCAGGACGTAACACAAATAGTTTCCTATCACACCGCAATGGGGATCAGACAGTGTGGTTTAGTATTTTTTCCTTCCCTTCCCTGGACGCCCTGTGGGTATCCAGCACTTTTACGACCTCACGAACCCACGGCCTGTTTTCTTTCCAATACGTTGATCTCGTTTTCGACGCCGCTTGATTAATTTGGACTTTTGCAAACGTTGTACAACTCGAATGGCAGAGCGCGAGTTCAACGGTTATAAACTGTGAGGAATCAAATCTCATACACAAATCTAAGAGATAGAGAAAACTTACAAGTTTACATGTATGCTACTGTGACAACCCTATCTCGATAAATCGGAGTTGGGATTGCCTGTGAATGAATTACATATTTATTTTATCTCACCTAAGAGATTCCATCTCCTAAATGGAGTTTCATTGACCTTTCTCGTGGGCGACAGCCTGCCTGCCCAGCCTCAAGTTGAAGCCAAATCCATACAGCCAAGCCTAAATATGTTCAATACCAAAATTTACAGGGTTGGGATGGATCGTGGTAGATAATTATCCTTCCTATGTATATTATGCGGTAGCTTTAATCGTGTATTTACGTTTGTGGATGATCTGGGATTTGTGCCTAGATAGAGTTAATGAAGGTACATATTCCCTCAGCCCTATCCAGTATGTCCAATCCCGCTACACCGCACCCTGACCACTTATTATGACCTGAAAAATTTGGTTACATGCATTTCCCTTTCTGGCGTATCAGCGTCGGTTTCACACCACACCGACTGCAAGCGTCAAAGCTGGATCACCAATCGCGCAACATCAACACAGCCTCTATCATTTACCAGAGGTAAGGAACTCCCACTTCAGAGCTCTTGGGAAGCCTGAGGGAGAGCCCGCGATATCCCGGCTATCGTGGTCAGCCTGTCTATAATTTCAGAGGGACACCCGTCGTTTTCTTGAACTTTCCTTACTGCTCACAACAGAACGCAAATTAAATAGGCCATCATCTACATCTATTTAGCCAACATCACAGTCCAGTTTGTTCATGGTAGGAGCAGCAAACTTGTCGCTGTTAGAGTCGAAGTCGGGAATGTGGCGACTCTTGTAACCATGAATAGGGTGCAGAATCGGCAATCGGCACAAGGCGGATAAAGGAGGTACCGGGTGGTTTGCTTTGCTGGAAGAGGACGAATACGATATTCTGCGTCGTCGTAGTCTTATTGACATGGCTTGCTTCCAGTCGCGATGGAATCGTTCCCCGAGGCTTCTGGAAAACTCGAGGCCTCAATGGGTTGAGGGAAAACCGGTAGAATTATTGATGCAAAGCTCGTCCCGGCTCACAGTGATGATGCTCTGCAAGGCGTTGCTATTGTGCTTGGTGACAAGCCAAGATGGCCCCGACAGGTTTTAGGCTTCGCTGAACATAATCCTCGAGACCAGAATTGATGGGTAGTTCATTTCAATTCCGAGTAAGGCAGGGTTTTAGGAACGCGGACCTGACTTAAGGTTCTAGATTAGAGAGGTACGCGTCAAGTGCTGAAAGATAGGAAGCGATCTTTCGAAGTAGAGTCTGATTGTTCGCATAGTTTTGCCCGTCACCGAGAGTTATAATGCCGCTAAATCTCTCTATAAATCTCTCTATTGGCTCGTGGTATAAGAGACCGAGACCTATCATACTTTGTTACCGGACATCGCCGCCATTGTATTGTGTCTGAGTCATCTCAGTTTCGAGAGCTATACTGTTGGAAATGTCTGTTAGCAAAATATTATCCCGGGTATCTTGGTTACCATCTTGCAGTTCTCAGCATCGAAGAGTATTACAAAGAACAGTAACACACGATATAAAAGGACACCAGAGCCTACTCTCGACAAACCCAGAGTCTAATTAACTTCCACAGTGTCAGACAAGTTTCATGGCGTACTATTATGAAATCTTCTCACGCGTGGTTGATGCTTCCACGCTCGAAATGAAGACTGCTGCTGGATGATGGGGTTATGACTCGTCGGTATTTCTGCGTAAGTGGACAAATCCTTTCAAGGTAAAAGTATGCACGTAGTCCAGTTATACCAGGACCGGTGCGCTATATCTCCTAGCAGCACCGAATGCTAATATCGATACCAACATCCCTAAAGGTGGCCTTGGGGCGCCTAATCCCCATGAATAGTCTTCTGAATAATTGCAAGAATCTCAATATTTTCCGCTTCGTCATTCTAGACTGACACCGGAAGGCCTTTTACCCACTGGTATTCCAACATGGTTCCCAGCTTGGGAGAACGGGGACACAAATACCCGAGAGCTTGCTTCTCTGCATACGGTACAAAGTCCCACGTGTTGGGACCGTCAATCCAGTCCATGCCGACATCGCCTTAGCACAGGGCTATATACCACCGTGTAGAGAGCTTGATTTGCCAGAGCTGTCATCAGGAGGATACAGCTACAATCCGGCATAACCTTAAGCAGGCTGGTTACCCCCGGACGCTTCAGTCCCGAGATGCCAATCGTAGTACCTAGAAAGAGGGACCCGCGCCATCTAGTTATTCAGAGGCCGGTGACGTGGTGTTGGTGAATGGTTCCATTCAAAAAGCATTCGAACATGGAAAGTCTAGTTCCAGTATTCGTGGCTTCGTCGCCTCGATCGGTTGAGTAACCCAGGTGCGGCTTGCTCGGAGGACGTGGACGCCCAAGAGATCGACATTCACCTTTTACCATTTGACCCCGCGGGCCCACACGGAATATTGGCCTCCACCAATGTGGCATTTCTTCAATCTCGGACGTCGCTCAAAGGGGCTCTGAGGACGTGTCATTCCCTCACGAATTAGGACACCTTCCTGAATTGGATCGATCATGTTGCGGATGAAGTGACATCTTCCACTCCTCAGATGGGACAAACGGTTGTCCCGACCTCGTAACGACCAACGATTTTACACCCTTTGCGTATTTGCGTTCATGTGAAACAAATCAACGACTAAACGAAATATAGTTACGGGGCTCAACTGGGGTGGCATTCCGAAACGCGTAGTATAAAAACTCCACCTCTATCTCCGCCTCTTAGTTGGTGATGCGCCGGCGCTATCTTTCATTCCTTGCCGAGGAGGCCGGACCACAATGATGCCGGCTTTACTTTCTATACTCCCTGCAGCCTTACTGTTCGCAGCCAAAGCGCAGGGACTAGTCACCAGGGCGTCAAGCGCCGCAGACGCCACTTGCACTCCAGCATCCGGAACGAACGACGACGCCCCCGCAATCGCCGCCGCCTTCTCCTCGTGCTTCAGCGGAACCATCGTCATCCCCGCCGGAAAAACCTATAATATAGGCAGCGTCCTCTCCTGGACCGGCTGCGCAGGCTGCACCCTCCAACTCGACGGCACGCTCAACGTGAGCACCAACCTAACCTATTGGAATGGCAAAAGCGAAATATTCTCCATAGCCAACATTAATGGCGCCACCATCTACTCCTCAACGGGAACAGGCGTGATTGAGGGGAATGGCCAGGCCAGCTGGGACTACATCGTCGACGGCGACACGAGCTACGACCGCCCAAACCTTATTCGCGTCGACGGGACGACGAATCTCAAGATGTACAATTTGGAAATCCGAAATTCGCCCCAGTTTCATGTTGTGACGAGTGGTAACTCGAAGGATATTTATTATGGCGACATCACGTTGTACGCTGTCAGTACCTCAAATAATGTGGCGCATAATACCGATGGGTTTGATGTGGGACCGGCGTCGTACGTTACGCTTGAGAATCTGCATGTTACCAACGGCGACGATTGCGTTGTCCTCAAGCCTGGGGCCGACAATATCGTGGCGCGGGAGATCACCTGTATCGGCTCGCATGGCCTCTCGGTTGGCAGTCTGGGGAGCAGTTACGGCAAGACGGATTCCGTGACGAACAGTATTTTCGAGGGGGCTTACATGTCAGGGGCTACCAAAGCAGGCGGGGTCAAAGTGTGGCCTGCTGGTCCTGATCACGGCTCGGCGGTCGTGTCGAACGTGACGTGGAGGGATATTTATTGTGATGGGTGCCAGTATGCGCTGCAAATCGAGTCGTGTTATTCCGAGGACGATAGTTATTGTGAGGAGTATCCAAGCACAGCGCAGTTGACGAATGTGGTTTGGCAGAATGTCACGGGGGTTACGGATGGGAAGTATGATGACGTGGTGGGGAACTTGAATTGCCCTGGTGCTGGGACTTGTGGGATTTCTGTTTCGGAGTTGAGCGTTAAGTCGCCAGATGGGGGGCAGACGGTATTGTGTGCGAATACTGATGGGGATATAGGGGTTACTTGTACTAACGGAGCTTCTGGCTGAAATTTTTGTGCTGCTGTTATATTAGTGTACTAGTACAAATATGCTGAACCATACTAATGAAGTTCTTATTGCTGTTATTCTACGGCTCGTATGTTGATATAACCGTCATGAAGCAGCAAGTCAATGGAAAAGACATATAAGCTGGTGAAGCCCAGGCTGCGCAGTAGTACGACATCACCAGCCGTGTCTGCCATAATGAGACACATACACCCCACTTGTAAAACCTACCTGTGATTATAACGCGCCAGTGGCATGACGCAATTTGTAAATACCTTTTCAACGTAGTTACAGATGCCCGATTATACCTGCAAGAAGTCCCGTATCTGACCACGACTCCGGGCTTCTGGTCCCAACAGCGTCGATAATTCGACAGCGAGGTCATAGCTGTGGAGTGAAGACAACTACGGCATCAATGCCGCCCTAATACCTGAGTATATAAAGCCAAGTATCTTAGAAGCCAAGATGACAACAAAATGAGCGTGTTTGCTCCAGCTTCTCGCCACTGTATTTGCTATTGGCTATATTCGAAAGCCAATATCACTTCTTTATGTATTCGAAGATGTTCTGGGTGCTGTGTCTAGTCAGTACCCTAATATCAAGCGCTAATACAAGGCTCAAGCGCAAGAGAGATGCATATAAGTCAACAAGAGAGCCTTTCCGAATATCCACACGTTATTCATGTACGCTTACACAACATTCACAGGCACAGCTTCTAACCAAATATCTACTTCGAGGCCCCCAAATCGACTCATGATGTGGAAAGATTCACGCCTGTTGAATTTATCAGGTCCATATGTTTTAGGGGATAATTGATTAACTAACTAACATGTTTCGTGTTTATCCCTATTATGGATTATAGCACAAATCACAGCATGCACGCACCAAACGCATTGCTAGGATCCAGGATGACCGACACGCACTTCGAGTCCTTCGTTTTACGGCAAAGACATGAACAAGTCCAGCATCTTTGGGTAGTTTGGCGTCCCCAGACCCGTCACGGGATCCCATCCCTTGACGGCCTCAAACCCGATCGTTCCACAGCCAGGATTGTTTCCGTTGGTAACTAAGGTGACATATCGTCAGTATAGGATCAAAGAACCAAAAAAGGAGAAAAAAAAGAAAAGATTATTTCAAGCACTCACTATCGTTGAGCACCCCGGGGTTGTCGTATAGCACGGGGTTGATGAAACCAACGGGGCCCTTGCCAACAGCTATCCGCTCCTCGTTGATGCGGTTGACCTATGCTGTTTTAGTGCATGCTTTATCCGAATGAAGTGTTTACTTACTATGGCAGAGAAGATAGGCGTGCTCGCCGAAGTGCCACCGGCGAGTCCAAATTTTCCGCCAATATAGACAGCGATGTCGTCACCATTCGCGGCCACATCGGGGATTCCACGCCCGTCTCGATTGTAAATTCTCCCAGTGTCACCAGCGAGGGCAGTGACATTTGGCAGCGTCGGGTTAAGCGCATTTTGGGAAAGTCCGCGGTAGTATGGGTACGGAGGGTTGTGGTCCTTCAAAAATGTATCGGCCGCTTTCTTCTGGTAATGTGGGACTCCGTAGACGTTACTGAAGCCACCGCCAGACGAATAGTTAACGCTGCGAGGTGTTACAGCGGGGTCGTATGCTGCACTTTCTGGATCAAATACCGTGTAACCCGGGTATACCTTGGTGGCGCCAACATTGGTAACCCAGGGGCAGCCGTTGGGCCATGTTGGGTTGTAGATGTTCAAATCAGGTCCAAGACAGCCTGTGGGGCCGTCAAACCCGTATGGTGCTGGGTAATTGCTCACCCCCAAGTCGCCCGAAGCAAACAGGAAAGACACACCCTGAAGACCTAGCTTGAGAAACTCATGACCTGTTGATGGATCAGCTGTACATATCTTGGAGCCTCTGGCCATAAATCGCAATAAAAAGTATCAAGACGGAGGAATTCATTACACTGGCGTTTCTGGTAGGCGATGGGGACGTCCGCTTCTTGACCACCGTACGAGAACGAAAATACATTGGGTGGCTTGTAGATACCGCACTGCAGGGTTCCGTTGTAGCCGCCGGGCGAGGGGTCGGGGTAAGTTGGATCAATGCCCGGTGCATCACCGGTCTCCCCGTAAGCTGAGTAGGTGCAATAGGATCCGTCAATGGCATCGAGGAGTCCATTGAATCCCCACTATAGCCTCGGTTAAGTCAACGAATCCTGAGAACTCTCGAGCCACTCACGGTGTATGTGTCATTCTCCCAGGTCTGGTAGTGCAGATCGTCTACATTCCAGACGGTGATGGTCTGGGGGTACACGATGGGGTACGCAAGCATCAAGTCCAACATGTCAGGGTACGGCTAGGCCGAAGGCAATAGTACAGAGTGATGGGGAGTAACGGGCGTCCCTCCTACGTAATACCGGGTGGTCACTGGCGGTCTCAGGTAGGGGTGCCCACGGTGATGCATTGATCTCTGCTCCTTCCCTATCCTACTTCGAGATGGTCCTTATATAGATAGCTAGGCCGCCGCTTGGACCCGGCATAACAGCAGGGTCGGCGATGCCAAGGATCTTGACTCTCGTCATCCCAAAGCTTCACATAGATTGTAATCATGACTCGGGAGTCTTTTGTCCGAAACACCCCTCCGGCGCCCCACCGGTGTCTTGCGTTCAGTGTCCTGACACCCACTGGTGCCTATGGCATTCTGTTCTCTGACACAACAATGCCTCACCACCAGCTTGAGAGAGGTTCGTCGTGGTGGCTACGCCCCGTCGATCTCGTAGTTGATGGGATGCGTGCGCTGGGGGATCGATGGCGTAAAGTTGGCATAGAAAAGATCCAGATCTACCTGATGCCAGAACTGAAGCTCGGCCTCAAAGATTCCTAGAGAGTTGGTGGGGTCGGCGAGGTGGCCAGGTGGTATCTTGTACAACGCCTTCACACAAGCTGGAGTAATTGCCTGGTCACAGTGACTGAGATCGCTGGCGTTCTTGGAGAGTTGTTTGTAAACCTGCTCAGCCATCCACTGTGGTTTCTGCCGGTTGACTTGCCTGTCCACCCGTTTCTTCAGCTTCAGGTCAGTGTCGCCTTCAACCGGCGCCATCAGCCTAGTTCCCGGCGTGATGTAGTCAATGTGCTCCTGAATGGTTATGGGAACATGGTACTTGTCGCAAGCGGGGATGATACCTCCAGTCACGGCATCTTCGTGTTCAAAGTACTCGGTGCGCAGGAGAGCCTCCACTTTAGAGACTCGCGCGTTGAAGGCAAGCCAGCCCTTGTTGTCCGAGTGGGTGACATTTTCAATACCATGATCGGCAAGCCAGTCCCGTACCTCTTGCCAGAGTAACCAATCGATCGGATACCGGTCGGTAGCACATTTTGTTCATTAGATCGATACCGGTGGCAGTTTGCACCACCGGTATCGATCGTTCGATCTGACCGGACCGGTTATATGGAGGATTCTGAGGGCATCGTGACTCTTGTTGTTGACCCTGGTTTTATCTAACCTAATACGGTTAGGCGTTGTTTTAGGTAGGAAAAGTGAAGAGCTGAGTTGGCGTGAGCATTATATGGCTAGGTTGAGGAAGCGTTGGGAGGGTGACTATAAAAATAGTTAAGTATAATATCTAGATAACTGTTTATCCTTAACTGACCCTCGTCCAGGCCCCTTCCTGAGACCAACCCTTTAGCTGAAGCTGAGAACCAGCCAGTCCTTACGATGCTTCAACGCCGCAAGCGTTTTTATATGAGCGACGCCGACTCCGAGGTCCTTGATTCGCAAAGTACACAAGATACACAGCCAATAGCAAAGAGAAGGAAAGGAAAGGGCAGAAACACCAAGCCGGTGCCGATTAGACAGGAAGAATCACAACAAGACGAGCTTGACCTCTACCTGGCAGAACCTGTGGTTAACGTGGTGGCGTGATATTGGCGCAAAACGTTTCACCAAACTGTCTTATATGGCTGTTGACTTCCTTACGATACCTTCAGCGCAAGCAGAAACAGAACGCCATTTTAACAGCGTAGTAGAGATGGTATCAGCACGAAGATCTCGCCTAAAACGCCACGTTATTGGGGCATCACAATGTATCAGGTCATGGAGTTTAGCAGGCGTTTATCAGGCTGAGTTGCCACTCCATCTGCTTGACAAGGTATCAAACGTTGAATTGGATGGTGAGGTTTCACGCGAATTAGCTAATTGGGCGCAAAACCGTTAAAAATAAACAACTCCGTACAACCGCTATTGATCGATCCGACCTCTATCTGACCGGACCGGTTATATGTGATCGATACCGATCGATACCGGTTGCTTAGTAATCTGTACCGGTACCGATCGGATGAATATGATGTTGATCGATACCGGACCGGTATCGGTATCGGTGAAGAATCATGATCGATATCGATCGATTGGTCACTCTACCGCTTGCACAGCAGTCTCACTTGGGCAAAAGGCCTCGATCACTTGGTCCGATGTCCACAGCTTTCATAGTTGGGTGAGCTGGGATGAGAAACATCAAGCAGATATTCAGCGGCATTGTCCAGATTCGACTGAGTGAGCCCAATGCGCACCGGTAGACGTTTGTTGGAAGGAACTCGGTCTCGCTTAATCCATCTGGGGCCTTTCGAACTCAAGTCGGCTTCCATGTTGGCCCAACATGATTCAAACTACCGACTTGATCCCGATCGCTTTTCATGGATAGCATGGTGCTCTGAGAGAAGGTCAGAATCCTATACAGTTATGGGCAGAGACGACCTGAGACAAACCGTATGGAGCTGTTGCAGCTATTGAGGCAACGCTCAGTGCGAAGCTGATCACCGCGCCAACTCTCATGGTGGGCCTGGTTGAAATTACAACTGGCAAGAGTTTCAATTTCACGAGGTTGGAATTGCAGGGTAGTTCTACGAAAAGGGACGACGAGAAAGAGAAGATATTGGTGCGTCAATATGTAATGAACGTCGCTGCAGTTCGTTTCCACAACAATGCAGCAATTTACCGACGGCGAGTCACCACAGAATAATTTTACGTAAGATATCTATATGTCTTGGACTTCACTATGAGGTTTCGTTTGAAGAATACCCGCAATGGTCTATTGTTTCCTAAAACCAACACAAATAAGCTAATACATCTCAAGCTTCTCCTTAATTGTTGTTCTTGTCTGACACTTTCCCCAGTAAATTATTGAAACACCTCTTAAGTGATGGCATCCGGATGCTACTGCGATTATTAATATACGCTCATGCCATGGCCAGCTTATCAACCAACCCAGAACAATTGTATCATGTCGAGTTTGTAGCCAATTAAGCAGCCAGAGGGGCTTCATGCGACGTCGGCTGACTGCTGCACAAAGGAATACTTAGCTCAGTCGGTCTAAATAATGATGGACTAGCCTTCCCTCAAATCATGTAAAACTCAGAAGGTGATTGAGGGTTGGATACAAGCCCACAAGTCTCGGCATCATGGAAACACAGGGTCAGTGCTCTCATTAGAATGCCGGGCAGATAAGTAGACAAGACGATGTATTTTATGTTAGTCCATACAGGACTCTTGCTATTAACACATTAGTAAACTTTGGAGGCGCTACCACGAGATGGCAAAGTCGAATACGTTTGTGAACACTTGATTACGTTTGCCATTGCCATCAAGCATCCGATGCTTACTAAGATCAACAAGTTTTTCCTATTGAGTGAGCCTTTGCTTCCGGGAAAAGAAGATACGATGAGAACGATTCTCATCATGTCGTACACGTCCAGCTGGTATGTGTATGACGAAGCCAACATGAATTCAAGTGTTTGGGGGAAATTGTGGCTAAGATAGCCGTATCAAGGTTTAGATAACAATCTTGGCCGATGGGTTGTCATAATCTGTATGTAAGTGGTGAATCGAACCCTTACCATGTGCTAAGAATATTATTGAGTAAAGCAGTATCTCTAGTTTGAGCGAACTGGAAGCCTAGTCCGGTATCTCAGTACGGAAGTCCTTGAGAGAACTGTCACTCTGGATTAGTTCCCGTAGTGCCGTACACTGCATCCAATCTAATGATGTCTTCACTGCGCAGGCACAAGCGATCGCGAACCCGAATCATCCATAACTCTGGTAGAGGTATGTAAACGAGGGATGAATGCTGGGTCCGCCCGCGGCTCTATCTGTGGTTGCTGGCCGTTGCAAACATGCATGTCGTTTCGACCGACAAGATATGTGTACTTCAGAGACATTTACATGACTTACGTCAGTCACTACTTTGGACTGTTTCTCATCAATGGCTGTTCTATTTTCTACCAGAGTGGTCAACCATATTTGCATTGCTCAGGATACTCGTGGTAATCAGATCATAGTACGACAATTCACCCAAAATACCTATGAAGGTATTTATATCGGCATACCCGAATTAGTCTTGTGTCAACTCACTGCGTCGAATATACCCGGGTTTGGAAGATTTTTCAATATATTCAATGCGGCATAGCTGGACTGCCACCCCATAGCTATTTCGGAAGAACTCGTGAGGATCTCCGGCACCGAGGCTCCCCTAGTCAAGCTTTGAATAGTTTCAGCAGCTTTTCCCGGCTTCAGGTGAAGAAAGGCTTCGATTCGAGCATTGTATCAATGCGGTGCATCCGATGTAATCGGGGTGGCTGAAGGCAATGGTAGTCGATGATTGATAGTTTTCTTGACAGCTGCCACAAGATCTGGCACATGTGCCTCTTCAAGCCCTGTTACGGGCCTGTTCGCGCCCTTCGTATTAAGCACTGCCCATTGCTATCATTCAAATGACTGATTAAGTAAGGAACCTACCCCTCCCCGCAGAGTATCCGTCTTGGAAACGCTACAGTAACGCCGAAGGTCTCGGCAAGGTTCCTAGGGGTCTGGTTTGACCGCAAATTAACGTGGCACGCCCATACCGAACGGGTTAAATCAAAAATGGCGACTCAGAAGCTAGCCCTAACAAAGCTAGTGAACATGGCGTGGGGCTGCGATCTCATACGGGCGAGACTACTGTACACGTCGGTTATTCGCAGCGCGATCGCCTTCGGGGTGGCTGCGTGGCACACTATAAGCGAGGAACCAGCGGGACCAGCTAAGAGCCTAGTCGGGATACAGAATGAGTGCCTCCGAATAGTCTGTGGCGCCTACAAAGCGACACCGGTCCGACACCTAGAAATAGAGGCAGCTATCCCGCCACTAGACCTATATCTCAGTGCCCGGGCGGCGAAATTTGAAGAACGGCTACGGAATAACGGCAAAAGGAGCCTGCTTCGGAGCGCGAGCGCGAGAGCGTCACACATACTCCGACAGGACACGCCGGCGAGACGGAAGCGGGCGTCACAATCGCTCAGACCAGCGGGGTACACGATAGAGAAGGAGTGTGACGACTGACACATGGACGATAAGCAGGGACATCCTGACATGGCCTGCCCTGATCTGGACGAGCGCGTTCCCCTTATAATAGGAGAACGGCCAGACATACTTGTAACCCTTTCCTTCTCTTTCTTCCCTAGTTTAGTATTCAACAATAGAGATGCACTGATATGCAACCTTGATTCGTACCTATGTGCCTCTGCCTCGTTACATAATACTAAACTCAAACCTATAGTCTGGAGAGACTCAAATCATCTTAAGAAAACTGAAGACGAACGCTCGCCCTCCCGGCAAGCGTAACTGATCTACGTCTGATCAGAGCAAGAATGGCCCCAATTCGCGGAGCTAGTGTGAACCTGGGTCGAGAGGCCCTTCTACGACGAATCGCCACTAGGATTACGGATCTGGCCTTGACCAGGGAAACTCTCGACCAGATCAGAACAAACCCGGATACCTTTCGCTGTCACGTTTCGGAGGATGAACTTCTCCAGGACGAACGAGACCGTATCGCCTCGATTGGAAACCGTACCAAGCTCGCACTATACACCCCTGAAGGCCAAAGACAAGACGCCATTATCGCAGACCCCTCCTCGATCGAAGCATTGGTAGAGTCTGACCAGACCGAGGACCTCGCCTGTCATGTCCGAGACCTCGCTGTTAAAGAACTGGTACACCGAGAACAGGTCGGACTGTTATGTGACCTGCTGAATCGGCTAGACACGATCCAGGGCCAGCTTGCCGAACTGTGGGAAAAGGAAGCCATGCGCTGCGCATTGTTGGAACAACAAGTTCGGGAGCTTGCCCAGGAAAAGGCCCGACTAAACGAGGACATCGTGCAGCTGAATCGGAGGGTTTCCCCCCAGACTACGACTCCTGCGGCCCAAGGCGGGGGCACGATTCGCACCTCCGATGCCGATATCTTTACCGACGACGATAGCGGCAAAGTGAAGGTTTATTTCGACCCTTGGTACTACAATCTGACCAAGTCCCTAGAGCAATACCCAACCAGATGGCCCTCTGATCAGGATAAGATGCTCCTGGTGACCCAACGCCTGGGCGGAGCGGCATCGAGGGACTTGATGCCATACCTACACGAAAACAACGCCTACCGCATTACGCATTGGCAGGGGCTGCTGGACCACCTCTACACCACCTACCACGACGAAGAACAAATAGAATCTGCCCGCGCCGAATTCCGGGGACTTCGCATGAACGACAAGGACGAGTTTCACTCGTTCAAAAAGAGGTTTATGCGCCTCGCAGGGCAATCCCTTGTGCCCGCTGACTCGTACAAATACGAGTTTAACCTACGCCTCTGTTCTCGCATTAAGCTTCAGATGATCCGAGACTACGACGATTCAAGCATTGACTTTATGCAATTCGTTGGGATCGCAGCCAAGCAGGCGAGTGCACAGAAACGAATCTACGAAGAGCGGGAACGAGGCCGAAGGAGGGAACCTACGAAGAAGGACGGCCGGGAAACAGGCGGAGCCACATCGACTGCCCCTGATCAGGCCGAGAAGACACCTAGAAGATCCAGAAGACGCACTTCAACGAACCATGGCGTAACCGAGGGCATAGGTGGGGAGGAACGACAGCGGTTGATGAGAATCGGAGCATGTTTCAAATGCAAGAAGACTGGACACCTTGCGTCCGACTGCACCGATCAGGGCTCGAGTCAAGAGCTCCAAGCTTCAATCCAGGCTATCGTACAACAATCTCTCGCTGCAGCGGTTGCTGCCATGACTCCGACGGGTAAGATGTTGGGTGCGCCCCCGCCTCGACCACGCGCCCGACGGGTTGTCGAGATAGACACGGACGACGAAGAGTCTGAGGACTCGGGAAAAGATTAGACTCCAGGAAATATGTCTCCATCTGGAGTAAGGTGTTGACCATCGAACGATATGGATTTTCTGTTGCTGCACTGGATTTGGTGCCCCTATTAGGGGGCAGGTCCCTTTCACTACCGTGTAAGCTTACAAAAAATGGAATTGCTCTTTCTATATCTTCTTTGATCGACACTGGAGCAGGCGGCTACGCCTTTATGGATTTGAAGACAGCACGACGAGCCTATAGGACTCTTAAGGCCGAAATTATTGACGACTTTGAACCGGTGCCTTGTGGGGGGCTTGATGGCATTCCGACCCAATGGATAACTACCGCCCTAGTAACTACGCTCGAGCTAGACAGTCGGAACTTCCCAGATACAGTGTTTTTCCTGATCAAGACGGGAGGCACGCACGAAGTTATTCTAGGCCGCAATTGGTTGGCAGAACACGATATCCTCCCCGATTGCCGCCGACACGAACTGCGGTGGCCAGAGAACCTACCCCGGGATGACGAGGTGCCGTTGGGAGACAGCCCTGACCCTACAACGCATGCGCCTAGGCCTGATCAGGGAAAGACGGTTCGGCTCGAGGAGACGAAGCATTCAGAAACGACCTTTCCTGCAAGTCCAGCCGGTCCCCGACCGAACCCCCCTGAACTACACCACCCATCCCCAAACCACGACAAGGTTATAGGGAAGGGTCAACGCCGGAACTTAGAACGGATGGACAGGCAGCTTTACCCTCGACCCCTCCCGTCCTCTCTGCCAGGGAAGAAGGACAAGGAGGCAACCCCCCGAAAGGAGGAGATGGGCATGGATATGGCCAT